GAGTTTGATACCATCGTTCAGGTGGAAGGTTGTGGTACCTCTGAAGTGCCAAGAGTACATCGTCATAAGCGGCATCTTTATCGGGGCTTGGGCCTATCATTGGTCGAGCCATCAGGCTGTCGAGCTCGCAGCCACCTGGGACCAACCGGCAGATTACACAGCACGCCGGTTGCCAGGACCTTCCATTCCCTCCATTTCGAGGTCAACCTGTTAGGTGAAGCAACGCCCCAAAGGACATCGAGCTATGAGTCACACTTCTTGACGCGGCCAATTCGACTCCAACCCCCAATATCTCAGAAACGAAGCCTCCAGACCTCTTCACAGGATGGGACCGCCTCTCTCGCCCGCGTTGCTGCCTTGATTGGCCAATTCACGTTCCATTGCTTCTTGTTCGCTTCAGCAATCCCAAGTGGCAACGCGTCGGTGGTTGAGCCATGGCGTCCATGCACCGACCTGCTTGCACTGATCTGAGTTGTCGAACTCCCCTTTCGCACGGGGAAGCGCGTGGATGCTACGGATGTTCAAGCTAGGCCTCACTGCCCAACTGGCGCCCAATTGGGGTTCAAATTCAATTGAGTATGGAGGCTCATGTGCCAGACACCGCTCCCCGCGCTCAATTGACAAAAAGGGGGGTTCCACTTCAAATCGCCGGCCAGTCCAACTCCCCCTCCGCAACCCCACAGAGCCCACAACCCCTCCTTCACAATCTCGACATCACCTCGTCCCCCTCATGAAGGGTAGCTTGCAACTGAAGGCGGACAGCCCGACCTGATACTCACTCAACCCGCCAAACTGCGACGTTCTTGATTTTTCGTTTGCCGAGCCTGCCCATCCCAAAGATACCTAACCCAACGGCTTGTCCATGTGGCCATCTCAGTCTTCGGTCCGGTTGATCGCCAGTTTCAAGTGAGGAGCCAGGCGGACAAGACTACAGCGCGGATTGCCTTGGTAGTAAGGCAGGTGCCCCAGTTTCTAGTCCCAGGATCAGCTTCCTGAATGTAGACTCTCACGGGAAGCAATGTTCGTCGTGACATACAACTTGGCACCTGTCTCCGCTCGCCAGATGGGATGTCACAACCCAAACCCAGGTGCCCAAAGCTCTCCCTCGACGACAAAGCAACATGATTGCGGCAGTTGCAGCATTGGTGGTTGTAAGTGGTCCAATCGTCCTGATATTCGAAACAACAACAGCACAGTGTTGGAATACCAAAACACCAATCACGACAGGAGGGCTGTTTGATACAAGCCAGCGTTGAGGGGCTCTTGCGGTGTACTCACAAGCAACAATCTTGGGCAGGAGTACATTCTCTCTCCTGCACGGCAGACTGGCGCCCGACAGTCAAAGAGAGCTGCTTGACCTAACTGGCCACAAACCTCTGGTCCATCCCCTCGGCATTTCGTTAGTCTGCCCCCTGGTGTGTCTCTAGCACTGCGTACATGGAAGTACATGTACATGTCCCCAGCCCGTTGCACCGTTTTGGGGCCATCCGTGTGACCAACCTCACCCTCCCCAGACCGTTTGCCGCCTTGTGGCGCTTGGGCTTATAAGTGTAATGACCCACAGTGTATGGAGTACTTGGTCGTCCTCCATGGCTTGCGCCCTTGCTGTTCATAAGTCTCCCTTCTCGCTCTTATTTCGTCTTTTGGTTAATCTCGAGCAACGCCCACCAGAAGTTTCTTTTTTTGCCATTGTCCGTTACAAAGCTGCCTACACAAGCATTGCGCGGCGCCCATTTCGCCACTGTCACCGACGGCTTCCAACGGCTTCCATTGACCGACCATTGCAAGGCCACCGCCAGCTATTGTTCACCTATATCCCCACGAAGACCCCCCAGTTGGCTATTGTTCAGTTTCAGCAAACAAGGCAACTACCACCAACAAAACCACGGCCACAGCCAGACGATGGGCATTGAAAAGCTTCGCATTGTGCCCTATTCAACAACTACTTGAGCTGCCGTTCCCCCTCATACAGACACCCACGCGCCCAATCAGTCGCCGCAGTCATCATCAGACAAAGAAACCACGGGTGCCTGACGTGCCCGACCATACAATCCTGCATTTCTCGCCCTACATCAACAGCAGTTGCAAACTCATCCTTCTACAGCCGATCTCGCAAGGACAGTTCTACGCAACTCCAGGTCCTGGCCAGTCCCTCGTCATCGTCCGAACACGCCTCGTATGTCAATGCTTGGGGTTTGCCACCCTGCAGACGGCCAGACAGTCATGCCCAACATGGCTGACCAACTGAACTCCAACAACAACTCGATGCACATGCCTATGTCGTTTGGAAGAATTCACCCGACGGCAAGGAACCCATTGTCACCGCCTTCCCAAACGCCAAACTTGTCTACCGCACGCTCCATCATGCCAAACCCAAGTCATCTCCTGTCTCCTCCTGGACCTGCTCCCTTGGACGACATGAACTCGGACATGAACATCACCGCGCAGAACAGCAAGGGTTTTGAAATGCAGCGCCCAAACCCACCTCCTTCCCCGCCTGTGTCGCCTCCTTCATCGCCGCTTTCGAAGTCGACCGCGTCCGTGATGCACCGCAGCGTCGGACCAAGCGATCCGATTTTGTATGAGACTGCCGAAAGGGCCAGCGCTGCCCCCTTGCTGCTCTTTCCACCGGCCCCCAGGACAGCTGGATCAGTGGAGGATGACTTGATGAACAAACACATTGCGGCGAGACCTCCCAGTCTATTTGAGAGCGTCTCGCCTCCTAAACGGGAGGACTATCAGCTGGTGATCTTCTTCAAGTCTGAGGTCTACAAAAGGTTCAGCCAAAATCCAAGGAAGTGGATGGAGCAGGAAAGGAGGTTGCGGCAGGCCGATCGTGAGAGCGCGAGAAGTGTGGCGAGGGCGCGGCTTCCGACCATCCTTCCGGCTTCCAACCCTACGCCACCTCGGATACACGTTCCCAGGGCACCTGTGGCTCGTGTGCAGAAACCAAGATCCCCCAAGGTCAAGGCACAAGCCCCTAGGCCTATCCGAGCAACTCCCGCGCCAACTCGTCCGCCGACAGCGGGTCACATCCACGCCACCCCAGAGCCTCGCATGCGAAACGCGGCGCCAAATCGCGAGGACAAGGATTTTGAGGCATTGGAAGATCTTTCACCGCCACTCGACTCGCTCCCGCAAGGGAGGCCAAATAGTCTAAAGGTGGAATGGAAGGGGAATGCTCTGGATCTCAGCAACGACCCACATCGTCACTTGCTTCACCCTGATGAACTCATCCTGGCAAGCAACCTTCGGCTGGACTGCGCTACATATCTCACGAGCAAGAGACGTATATTTTTGCGCAGGCGCGAATGTGCCTTGATTGGCAAGGAATTTCGCAAGACTGACGCACAACAGGCCTGCAAGATCGATGTCAACAAGGCCTCGAAGCTTTGGCAGGCATACGATAAAGTTGGATGGCTCAACATTGAGTGGACCAGGGCTCGTCCTTAGACTTTTCTCTCTTTCGGGGTGTTTCTTTTTGTATACGGTTTGGTTGGGTTCACTGTTTGGCGGTCTTTTGTCTTTTCACCAGCATCTGCATTTCGGATCTCATTGTCATCAAACTTGATACCCCCTTTCTTGGAGAGCGAGCTTGGTCTATCACCTCTCGCCCAAACACTTATCTCACACATATTTACTTGCATAACGGTCGATAGCGATACAGGAGTGGCCCCTCCGCCATGATTTCCTTTGCACATACATTTTGCATGTTTCACATCACGTACTAGGCCGGAACACATATTTTGGACTACTGGATGAGATGGAGACTGATGCGGATACCCCTTTCTTTCACGTCTTTGCATTTTTTTTGAACATACACCCAGGCAACAGCGCAAAGATGGGCCAGATTGGACATCACCACTCTGAGTTGGATTTCTGGAAAGGACTTTTTGTTAGAAATTGAACAAATCACCACAAACCACTACCGAACAAACTAGGTGGCCCGAAGTCAAGTCGAGACTTTGTTAGGAGAGAATACTACCTGACCTATCAAGGTTGCCATATGCGGCTACCACACATGATCTGCTTTAACCGTGGACAAACGTGCCGCCGCCCGATCTCCATCCCATCATCTCCCATGATTGCATCATTTGATGTCGGGTATGCATCCCGGGATGTCCTCCGATCGATCGATTGAGCCGCCTCGGTAGTGTAGCGCCACATGGGTCAAGGGGGTTGAGAGATCTGTGAGCATAACCAGTACATACATGATGTCACTGAGCGTGGCATTTGTCGTTTTTGTCGTGGCGGAAACAAGCTTTTATCTGATTTTCGTTCGTTTAACCGTCTGTGGGCCGGGGCGGCCGTGGGACCAATGGTACGGGATGCACGTTCTCGGGCTTTCTGTTGCATGCATGGCGTGGCTACCTTGCCCTGCCTGCGATAACGATTTCTGCGAAGGTCAATTGAGCGGTTATGAGCAAAACGGTCGGGGAAACTCCATCCTACATACAGGTGACCGATTCAGTTTTCTCTCGATACACATCCATGGCTTGGACAGATAGTTCTCAAAAGCCATCTCCCTCATAGAAACTCCACCTCCGCTCGCGCTTCTGTTTGTATGGGCAGGACCCCTCCCATAATCGCCATTTTCTACAGTCACTACCGAGGCCAGGAACCACAAGATTGAGTTCATCACCAACCAATCTAATCATACACATGCATGAGTCACCCCTCACTCATAGTATGCACAGTCTCACCTGTAATGACACTCCTTTTGATGGCGTCATCCATTAAATCTTCATGAAACTGGTTGGTGACTACATCACCTCAGATATACAAACTCCTATGGGCCGCTTCAAGTGAGTTGATGAGTTGACGAAAGTAGTACTCATATTAAGTCGGTTATAGTGTTGAAAAATCAAACCATCTTCAAAACAACGCTCAACACGCAAACGGAACAACAATTCAACACCCTGAATCAAAACACACTATTGCAACATTGTGCTGATCTGTTGTAATTTGAATACTTTTCCTTGCACTCCATCACCAATGTCCTACATACCCATGGTAAGGGTGTAGCCACCATCAACAACAACCGTCTGGCCATCAATGTACTGGTTGGCTGCTAGCGCCAACACAGCCTGGGCCATGTCAATATCCCTTCCTGGCCGGCCAGCTGGTACTTTGCCCTTGTACTTCTCAGCGTCAATGTGGCTCTTCTGATACTCGTCGCTCTCGTCAGCGGTCATCTCACTGGGGAAGACACCCGGAGCGATGCTGTTGACGCGGATCTTGTGGCCGTTCTCGGCGATCTCCGCCGCCATCATTCGCGTGAGGTGGACGGCGGCGGCTTTGCTGGCGTTGTAGCTAAAGTCTGTGACAAATGTCAGTATTCATAAAACCTGAGGAGAGAAATAAGGAAAACTCACGATGCTGCGACCCCTTCACCAACCCGCTAATACTGCTAATGTTGATCACAGTCCCCGACCAGTGAGGGTGCCTCTCCGAGCTGGCCTGCAGCAATGGCAAAAACGCCGAGGTCATAAAGTAAATGCTCGCGACATTGGTCTGGTATGTATCCGTCCAGTCTTTCTCAGTCATGTTCTCATTCTCAAACAAATTGTGCTTCATCTCCTGCGCCGTCTCCGTCTCTGTCGTAACCGTCGTGCTGCTCACACCGGCATTGTTGATGAGGATGCACAAGCACTTTTCCCGCGCGGAGATTTCCTTGTACAGACGGGCGACCTCTTCCTTCTTGGTGACGTCCCCTTGGATGGCGATGATCTCGCCCTCAATGTCCTTGTTGTAGATCTCGACTACCTTGTCGAGCTTCTCTTTGGTGCGGCCGACGATGTAGACTTTGGCACCGTTTGCCGCGAGGGCTTGGGTGGCCATGAGACCGATTCCAGAGCCGCCGCCCGTGACGAGGGCGACGCGGCCTTTGAGGTTGAAAAGGGAGTTGCGGTTGAAGTCATCGTGAGATGCGGCGGCAACGCTCTTCGACATTTTGGTGAAGTGACGAAAGGCTTGCTTTTGGGGGGTGTTGAGTGATAGTGGTTGAGGAGCTGGAGTTTTCGCTCTGGGCACCGCTGTGTGGATCGCGCGAGAGAGAACTGGGAGTGATCTGAGTCTTGTGGTTGAGAGAGTAGATGTTTGGATGAGACGAGATGTCAAGGGCGAGAGGGACATGGCTTTTCTTTGGAGGTTCAAAACGCTTGGAGGCAATAAAAAGAACTGGAAGCTCTTTAAGGGTAGGATTAAGCTCCTATGGGCCCTCCAGGTTCGATTTCGTCATGGATTGAGCTGCTGTGGTCGATCTTAAAGATCGATGACGATAGATCCTCTCACTTACACGCCAATTGACCAATCAGATGCCAATGAAGCTGCGGTTTGCCTCATTGTGGGTCCTTGCTTGTGGTAGCTTCCCTCCTTCCAAAGCCCAACGGATGAAACAGTGTGGAAGGTTTGAAAGATGCATTGAGATTCTTCTCGAATACCTTCAATGACAGCCTGATATGAGGTGAAGATGCGGAAGGTGCGATTGTGGAGCGCAGCAGTGGGGCGGCTCCCGGAGGATTTGCTCCCACCTCAGGACACTTGGTTTCCCCTATCAAGGGTCTTTTGCTTCAAATCAAACAATCGCAGGAAGTCACCATCGAAAAAGTATTACCAAAAAAGCTCACCGGAAAAACCCCCTCCTACGGCTTACCTGTTGAGCCATCTGACCATTTCAGTTGCCAGATGAGTGTGTAGGACTGTAGGTGGCTCATGGGTGTGCATTAAACATGTTCAATGTTTGAAACTCCCTGCACCAGTAACGATGTGCTCAATGGTTTAACCCCTTCCTCAATCCCGATGCTCACGCTGCTCAACTGTCGCTAACTCGACATCAGTCTTAGGCCAGAGATGGCTTAAATCGCCAACTGGAAGACTCAGCGTGATGCGCATTTCTCCCGCCATGATGATGAAACACATGTACCATCCTAGCAATGCCACTATGAACAATAATGCACCACCCGCCTGTGATTACCAGATGTGTTAGCCTCGACGTCTTCATTCGGTGGAAGTCTCTCACCTTTTGCAGTTTCCCAGCACCATCAAAGTCCCCGGCACTTGCTCGAAAGTATGCACCACTCAACACCCAGGCTCCAAGGCTGACCAGCAAGAAAATAGTGGCAAAGACAGCGTTGATCTTGCAGGTGAAGATGAAGAAGGTGAATAGGGCGAACCCCCAGACAATCAAATACAGCGCAATGACGGTGTTGTATTCGCGTGAGGCAAGTCCTGTCGGATCAGCATCGGTGGCATATGGAGCAGCCAGTTGCAAAGTTGGGAGCTGGAGCATTCCGAAACTCAGCCAGAACACGGCGAACAGGCCCATGACCATCATGGGAAAGAAGTTCCCCATTATCCACTCGAAGACCATTGCGAAGAGGAGGAGGACGGGGCCGACGAAGAAGAAGATCCCCCTGTTTTTGATTATGTATCAGTCAGCTCTCTGTTCTGGCCTGTACATTGCTGACTTACACGACAGGAGAGAATCCTGAGGCTCCACCCCATCCCATACAGACGATTGAAAAGGTGAAGGTTGAGATCACGAAGCTATGGTGTCGTCAGTATTTATATTTGTCCACTGCACGCCCATCACTCACCCGACAAACCCCAATGCCGTAGGATTCGCAAAGCGTCTGTTGTTGTCCCCAACATGGGGAACTTTTGGTGTGAGGTAGAGTTTCTCGAAGAGCTCTGGGGACATTGTCACCCCAGTTTGCGTTCTGTGGAGGCCCTTCTCCTCGTCGCCCACCACCCGGACGCCATTGGAGCTCGTTGCTGGCTCGCTTTGGGTTGACATGATCTTGATTGTCTCTAACTATTCTTCGAATTTCGTGTCAGATATTCCAACGTGCGGAAGATGCCCGCCCAAAAAGCAAGAAGAGTCAGGAGCACAACAGCGGGAGTCGGGCCCTGATGTTGGGTTTAATGATCCTCTCCTTTACAAACCAGCGTATCTCCAATTGAGGTGCCACACTTTGCAGTACAAACTATTGTTTCTCAGCCATCCAGATGGTGTCCTCGCGCACCAATCGAAAAGCCAACGGAGACTTACCTTGCCATTAACGGCGGCGATCATTGCATAGACCTTCCCCAGACTCTTTATGAATGGTACCCGCTCAGACACCATGCTTAACCTGCGTTGCCTTCTTTGCCTTTAGCGGGAAACAATAGAAAGTTCCCCGCCTGCGGACTGGCTCCTGTGAGCTGAGGAAGCAGTGACTAAGAAATATTGGAGAAGGGGAACCAGACTCAAAGAGGGGCTGGATGCAACGGTGATCTGCCGTACCACGTTGGAAGCAGTAGGGCTTCAACTGCCGGTGGTATTTCAAGGTCCGAATATGGGACCTAGCCATTTTTCCTTGAGAGCCGTGGACTGTAGTATACTTGGGAATTAACGGATCGTCCACTAAAATCATTGCTTCTCTCATATCAAACAGAAAGTCGATCTGACTCTGGACCACAACACCGGCTTGCTAATGATAAAAACCGCCTACTTGATACAAACCCAGAAAACCCCCAAGAAAAACAATTAGAAAACAACCTCCTCGCTGCCCTCCCTAACCCGCTCAATCATCCCTTGCAACCCCTCCTCGTTTTCCGCCCCCACAACCACATCCGCAATGCTCGCCCCCTCCTCCCGATCCTCATACCAACTCAACACAAACATCCTTCCCTCCTCAAACTCCCTCCTCCACTTCCTCACAAACTCCTCCCTTCCGCCCTTGACCGTAATGCCAAAACTGCTGGCGCAATCCAGCCCCCTTTGAGTGAAATGCCCCTTCAACAACGGCAAGGCCAGACTCCCCGACGTCCTAACATTCAAATCCACCACGTGAAACTTTGTTCTCTCCCCACAATGCGTCTCCGTCTCCCCTTCTGTCCCCGTCTCCAAAACATCGATCCCCACCGGCCCGACATACCCATGTTTCGCCACAAATTCCGCAGTCCGCGACATCAACACTTGGAATCTCTCGTACAGTGCCTCCTGCCTCGAGTAGACTATGGTGCTGCCAACCCAGGCGTTATTCCCATCAATCATTTGCTCTGATGCCGCCAAGAAAACAGGCTCCCCGTCCTCATTGACAAAAAAGGTCAAGCCGTAGTCCCCGATGGGGTTGGAGACCATATCCGAGATCACCACCGCCGCGGGATCCATGTGATGATTCTCGGGAGTGACTTGGGACAGCAACTTCCTCAGGGGGCCGTCGGGGCTGGAAAAATCAGACAGCAAATCGTCTTTTTCTTCTTGCGTGGTCACCACCCAGGTTCCCGCTCCGCCGAAAACCTGCTGGTTCTTGAGAACAAACGGCACCGGCCGGGAGGAGATGGCAGAGAGAACTTTGGCAGATTCGGTCTTCACCCATTGACCGCTTGGGCCGGAGCAAGATTCGGGGATGAATGTCAAATCGTTGGATCGCTTGTCTGCGCGGCAGGCGTCGCAGCAGGATCTGGGAGAGGCTGGGGGGTGTCCCTTGACGGAGATGATGTCGCACCTGGGCGTGGGAAGACCGGACCTGGCGAGGCCGGCTTTGGAGTTGAGGATCCAGTGGGTTTCTAGGGAGTGGGTTAGGGGATATGACTCCAGGCTGTCAGCGACGATTTTGTAGGTGATCTTGTCGATGCCGTATTCTTTCATGGGGATCTTGGACGGGCCGGGGCAGAAGACAAGGTTGGGTCTTTGGGAGGGGTCGAGGACGGAGAGGGTGGTGGTGGCTTCTTCACGATCGTGGGCGACTGTGGCGGGGGACTGGTTCATGTTGAACATGATCACTGGGGATGGACCTGCGATGAAGGCGTCTCTTTGGGGGATGAGGCTGAGATACTTCATAGCTAGGGACTTCCTGAGGTCGTGGTTCTTTCGTGTGAGCTCTTTCCGAGGGACGGTGTTGAAAGGGCTGTCTTGATAGAGGTATTTTGTGTTGCGTGGAAAATCTGGGTTGAGGTCAACGCCGCTGTTGACACCGCAAAACACCATTCCCAAACGGGTGCTTGCGTTTTGTGGGCTCGCTCGTCTGAAGAGCTCGGTGAGTGTGGTATCGAGCTTGATTATTGGAAGGTCAATGCCTGCCAGGCTTGATTTATCAACGGATCCCATGGTGTGAAGTGGTTGGCTTGCTGTAGCACAGTACCGTGGGTAGGTGTTGGTGAGGTTCAATCTGAGCTGTGATCCCCCGGCGGCGGTTGGTGTGGGATTTATGTTGACATTATGTCTGCCGCAACATATCGTGGAGGATGCATGTGACGTGGATCGAAGGCCGCGAGCAGCTCTTCCCCGATTTAGCAAACAAAGTAACGTCATTGATGGCGGCTGGCATTGAGACGAAAGATGGCGTCCAGTAGGTCCGAATAAGCTCTATCAAATAGCGTCCGATCTTTCTGTACTGATTAGCGGTCCGCTCTCAGGGGCGTTTGAGTTGTCCGTTCCAGAACCAAAAAGCAGGGACTGTTCGTGCAGGCGGGCGGTCCCGAGAGGCCGGCCCCCAAGTGAGAGTGAGCCGATGACATCATCGTTTAAGACATTGGGTGTTTTCTTCACCGACAAAAGGTGTTTGTTTGCCTGTGATTGATCTGTTTTTGAATCAAAAGAGCCGAGAATCCTATTGTAATGACATCGATGTCTTGGTGAAGTTCCCCGCGTGTGGTTTACTCCATTGGTGGTATAGTTACTGTGACGAGCAGCCATTAGCTGCTCGGAATTCTGTCAAGATATCCACACAACAATGCACTTCTGTATTTCACTTTGTGTTTGAGTGAAGCTCTCATGCTTACACGTAGTGGACCGTCTTCTTCGTTGCATCGAAGCCGTCGGCATTATCCGATCTGGCCCTGTTTCACTGACCACCCCGCGAATTAACTTCTCCAAATATCTGCAAGAGGAGATTACGACCACGTTCTCGAAGCGTCTCAAGTGCATAATCATGTAAGGTCTTGAGGAGCGTTTTACCCCTGAGTTTGTGTCTAACAACTCCCGATGTGCCTATCAGGCATTTTAATCTAGGCTAAACAACCCCCCATTTCCAAAGCTTCCTAGTCGGGACCAGCCGGTCGAATAGATGAAGCGCAACAATATACAAGGTCAACAGAAAGTATTGGCATTGGTGCGGGGAACTTGTAGATCATCCAGAAGGTTGATTCACCCGCACAAGCAAATCTTGATAGGGGAGTTGTTGTGGATTATATATCGGCCATGCACGTCCCTAAGACCTGTTTTCAGGATCCAGTCCTTTTGGCGAAGACTCTAAAACCGATTACAACATGAAGCTTCTCATACTACTCGCTACTGCCACGCTGGCGATCGCCTCCCCAGCCCTATACGGCCGCCAACACAACGTGACTGGCCCTTGTCCGGTTACTGCGACCAATGTCGAGACCTGCAGAGATATGATTGATGCTTCGGCTTGCTGGAACGGAATCATTGGGGCCAATGGAGATGGCAGCAGCCAAAATGCGGAAAGACTGTGGACTTGTGTGCCAGGAGGCAAGAAGAACGTAGGCTATACCCTCTCTCACCAGGAGTGAGACAATTGCTAACAGCAGGACGGGCTAGATGTGTGAATGCTACGGCTGTGACTGGGGATTGGACAGATATGTTACCCGGTACAAGCTTTGCGATGAGCCCTGAGGGAATGTCGGACATAAGAAGTAGAATGAAGAGGAGAATGCGCCTGTCGAAGGCCTAAGAGCAGACCAAGATCCAAAATTGGGTTGACCAAATATGTTATATGCCTATATACGTTGTTAAATACACGCTATGCAGTATGCAAGATAATCCAGTTGATGTATGACCACCTCCCAACACCTTTTCCGTTGCCACCATGACTTTGCTCAGGGTATCCGCCATGAAGATCTCTATGTAGACGGAAATGCACTCATCAAATCGTATGACTCCAGTCTTGTCCATGACAAGAAAGGAAGCCATTTCAAAACAAAGTATCAGACCTGATCCCCTTCAAAAGAGGCCAGGCACCTTCTCGTACAGGCCATCGTACAGCTTCCCAACCCACCCCAATGTCTCGCCCCCCCTGGCTACTATCCCAAGACCACCAGCAGCCCACATCACGCACCCAATAGCAGCAACTCCATTGATAACCAGCAACCTTCTCCTTCTCTTCTTCTTGGTTTGCTTGTCAACCGCCGCATTCCCAGTGTGCCTCTCAAGCTGCCAACCGGCACCCTGCGCCGCCCCAACCCACTTCGCCCACCCCCAGACCATGTGCCCCACACCGAGACCGATCAACGACACAAACGAGGTCCAGGAGATAACAGGATGCTTCGCAAACCCATGCGCTACGAACGCCAACCCGATGTTGGCACTGTCACCTTCTACTAGAAGTGGCAAGCCCCGATTCATGAATGCGTGCGCCGCGAAGATGGCGGTGAAGCCGTATCCTGACGCGGCAATGTAGCTGAAGGTGGGCCATCCGCTCCTCAGAGTGGGGGTCTGCTTTGCTGGCACACTGCCCTTTCTGTGATGATGGTCGTCGCCATAGTACCGCTTGAGATTTTGCGACCTTCGAATAAGGCGGGTGGCTATCCCCGCACCGATGTGGACTACGACTGGTAAAGCGACGAGCAACGGTTCGGAGAGTGGTGTTTGGTAGATCTCGCGCGCTAGGAGGAGGAACGACTCGGAGGCGGGCACGGAACGGGCGAGGACGGGGATGACCGAGGTTGTAGCCAGATGTAGGGTCGTGAACAGTGAAAATGTGTACGACGAGTAGCGCTGGATTCGTGTTACTGAAGGCTGTTTGTTAGCGCAGAGTCAGGAAAGCGTCAACGGCGGAGGAGCTTGCAGTAGAAGATTGGCCCATGACCGGCGCCGCTTAACCCGACGCTGGAAGTAGTTGTCGGGTTGGACCGGAGCGAGTGTGTCGAGTCCGAGAGTGATTCTTCTGGCTGCTCAGGTAGTGGTGGGAGGTCTTTGTCGGTGTATGGGACGGAGGCAGGAGAGTCCATTGGTGTTGGATCCAGTTCGAGCAGGGAGAGCGAAGTAGAAGCGTTGGACACAAGAGTGTCCTGAGAAGCTCTTGATCGTAACGTATGGTACTCCATGGTGGATGAAGGGGGAGACAAACACGGCGTGACCCGGCCTGTCTCAAAGAAAGCGCAGTGCAGAATCCTCAGTGATGGCTTCTGTGCTTTTTTTCCAGCCTTGGAATTGTTGAGCCCCGAAACGATGCGTTGGTTGAGCCGTTGTTGGCATCTGAACTTGGCGGACCCTGGGGAACAACGCCCACTAAACCCGACTCTAACCCCACACTGTTCAGGGCCCCCAGGCTTGGCACACCTCATTTGAGCACAAGCACCCTTGTGATTACTTTGTCCCTTTTTCTTACTCGTTGCAAGTTCAGATGTCCGATCAAGGCTAAATTCTTTGACAACCACGCGGCGCTCATCTCCTCCCGTCACTCACCGCGTCCGATATTCGATACCTACGACTGCCCCCGATGCCTCCCCGAAACCAGACTCTTCCTCCGGCCCAAACTTCGTCGGCGCGAGAAGCCCGACAGGCTTTCTATTGTCAGCTCTGCCAGAAGGGCTACAGCCGCAACAATGACTACGAAGCCCACCTCAGTTCCTACGACCACACCCACAAGCAACGTTTGAAGGACATGAAAGCAATGGTCAAGGACCCCAACGCCATTGCCCGCGCCCGACGACAAGAACAAAAGGCCGAGGGCGTCATCAGCATCAAGCTTGGCGAGGCAGCGGCATCGACGGGTGGAGGGGGGTTCAAAAAGGGCGGCTTCAAAAAGACAGGTTTCAAGTCAGCATTTGTGCCAGTAGCTGGAGCCAGCGGACCACCAGCAGACACGAAAACAGCCACTGCTCCTAAATCCGAGGTGACAGGATCCAGTAGTGTGCTAGCACCGAAAAGCGAACTCGTAGAGAGCGACACAGAGGACGAGGGATATGAAGTTTACGATCCACGGAAGCCCACTGATTGAGCCCCTCTCTTTTAACATCATATGGGAATCATACAGCCAACATCGCATCGTGGTGCCGTTTGGGTAGTCTTGGAAGAAGTTGTTACAGCCTTACGATCTCATGCTACCCTGTCTGGCCGGACTAGAAACCTTGGAACCCCGACAGATCTTCCTCCATCAGGCCAAAAATATGCGTGTTCCCCGAGAACCAGTTCGCCAGCTGAGCAGACTGGTCCATATCATAGCCGAATCCTGCCGGCCCTCCGATCCCATACGTGTGGTCCTGTTGGGAATGCTGCGGCATGAAACCTAACTGGTTCAAGTACATCTCGACGTTGTCTCCAACCATACTCATGTTATGATCTTGCTGTCCCTGCTTTCTGGTTTGGAGCCACAGACTGGCAATGTTTACCAGCACCTGCGATATCCGATACAGCTTGGTAACTCCTGAGGAAACGGGCGCCACAGGTTCCAAGCCCTCGGTGAATCTCACCAGTATATCAAGGTCTTCTTCGTTTGCCGTTTCGATGGTGTGGCAGAAGAGCACGACGAGAGGGATGAAAGGGATATAGAGAATATTCCTGCATGCTGTGTTAAGCACATGGTCATGGAAGATGGGGCGAACACATACCACTGAATATACCCTGCCTTCATGAACAGGCTCTCACCACACAATGCCATGCAACCCTCGTGACTAGAGAATGCTTCCCGTGCTGCATGGATGCACTCTGGGTTGAAGGTACTTGGCGACCCCGGTAGAGTTGGGATTGCACGGTAGATCAGAGTCAAAACTGACCATTGAACCAGAGCATCACCGACGACTGCTATATCGAATGAGAAGCGTGCCTGGGCATTATAGCCCCCGGACATCTTCATTTTCTCGACGACATGCTCAATCAGCGGAGCTGACCGTGCTGCCACATCCTGGAGTGCTTGAGCCAGCTGGCGCGCGTTTTCGGCACGCTTCTCAGCGGTTCGGGCCAGAGCCTCAGGGCTGTAGAGCTCTCTGTACGTCCTTCCCATAACTTCGCTCCAGCTGATCCACCTATCGATAAATTAGCCGGATACATGGTGCACAATGAGACCGCCAACAGTCAACATACTGAGCTTGACCAATCTTCCAGAGTGGATCTACGTTCTTGACCTTGGGACCGATCTCTCTAGGGATTGTTATGTCCCAGTCCTGGATTGCGGTCGGCCGTCCAGCTCGCAGTGACAGGGCGCTATCGAAGATGTATGTTGTCCAAAATAACATCGCTTTATGCTCAGACTCCGTGGTGCTCGGACTACGGGCTCGGTGATAGCCCAGAGTCTGGCAAATATTAGCCGCTATAGTGATGAAATCTCGGGCGAGCGAGTATTTCGACTCCTCGATGGCGTACATCGTCTGCTCTATGGATCAGTCCCGCATCGTGAACAGGATAGGACACTGCTGATACATACAGCCATTATTAGAAGCTCGACACTCTCTCTGCGCTGCGGTAACAAAAGAGGGAGATTTGTAAGCGCGGTTTCGATGTTATCCCGGCAAAGAAACGAAGCCTCGAACAGTTGAACTTGACGATCCCCTTCTGACGCAGCCCCTCTCTCTTGCAGGGTGAAGTACAAGCCCAAATTCACGATCCCCCATTGCATTAAACTGTACTCTTCAGTCGCAAAATAGACCCTGCGAACGTTGTCGGGAAAGTCCTCGATGCCGGTGAATGTGGCAATTGCTGGAAAGCCCATAGGAGGGTGTTCTGTGCTCGAGTCAGTACTTACAAGACCTTCAGGAGAGGGATAACGTATTGACAAACGTTTGATCTCGCGCAGGACACTGAGAACTATATCAGCAGACGGCATAGGCAGTTCAGCCCAGCCGCCTTTTGGGAGAGGTTTCGCAGTGGTGAACCGCGCATCATGGCGGGCATTCTCGATGTTTTGGAGTTTGACAAGCTCCTGCAGGGACAAGAATGCCGCCCGCATCTCTGGATCGAGGAATGGAAATGTGGTGTTTTCGATGAATTGAGTCGCAAATGCGGTATGCTCCTTCATCAAAGCGGTAGCCTCGAAGTCATCGCTCTCGTTGTCTTTGTCAGCACCAAACAAGGCATCTGCACTATTCTCACGAGGGGCTGATGACGAGGCTGCTGCTGCTGACTCGAGTGTAGGAGAGATACTCGAGGATGCTGTTGGTGGGCCTCGGTTGTTGAGGGAGACGGTCAAGTTGTGCAGCATCTTCTCGATGGTTCCCAGGCGGGAGTCGAGACTATCGATCTTTCTCTCACTGCAAACAACCAAATGGGTGGGTGTTAGTCTTCCCAGAAGGGGGTACCGACAGACATGGGCAACAATGAAGACGGGCATTTCCTCACTATTGATGGGTGATGAGAACTCTCTGCCTGGGTTCGCGAGGCTTCTGGCCGAGGCCGGTCGAGCTACAACTTCGACTGGCAGTTCTACAGTTTGAACATACAGGCAACTCTCTATCACAACGAATCTACCCGGCACTTCGACTTAGCACTTCTGTCGAACATTGATGGTGGAAGTGAATATACACACCTTCCGCTGCCGACACTGGTCACACTGTCCGAAACATATTTGTCAGTGTTAACTTCGATATCACCAAAAGTCTGACACGGCGAAATTATCGACCGTTCTTCTACCATCATGTAGTGAGGGACGTGCTACCTACGGCTCTCTTTGCCGAGTGATCATTATTATCGGCCAGCTCAGGCAGTTCCTCCATATTTGCGGACAGTCCAGCAATCCGCTGCTTAACACACACGCTGCTGGCGTGTGTTAAGCGGGGGTCTAAGACGATTACCTCTGATAAGGGGACTTTCACAAGGCGAATGCAGTGATAAGAAACAGATCTCCGGGCCCAGGACAATTCGTCGGGTGGGTGCTTCGCCTGTACGACGGTTGATGTTGCACTGTTCGATAGAGAAAGTGGCCGTGGGATGTGCAGTGAGGGGATCACCCAAAACCCGCGGAACCGGAACGCGAGCCCGAGTAGGGGCTGCCGCTGAGGATCGAGAAGCTTGGGCCATCAGCCGGTTCTTATACAGGACAGCGCTTCGTTCGAACCATGAGCTCTGCTCGGATTGAGCATTCCCATCCTTGGCCGTGTGTGTCAAACAATACTGTCCAGGCAACATGCCCTCTTTCTTCCAAGCATGTCAGGCCCTTGATCAAATCACGTCCAACTATCTATCGGAAGCAGACGAAGGTGATTGGTCAATATTGTCCTGTCAAGGCAACCTCGATTGCAGCAAGCACAGTTGACGACCACTGACAGGGCCGGATTCTGAGCCACAAGCAACAAAAAATGTGTCCCATCAAGTCACACAACAGTGCGCCTGCGGCAGTGAGCGCTTTTGCTGTCTCGTCGATGATTGATCGAGAGCTGGATTGACCCCGCAGCACCTTTGCAGCCCTCGGCGCGTAATTCACGTTCCAGCTTCAACAACGTCTCATTTTATAATTTTTGCCCCTCAGGAGCCGGAGATCGGACGCGCAACATCATGTCGCCTGATTCTCACTACACATACACACCTATCGACCTCAATACCGATGCAATCCGTCTCATACGTCTTCTCAGAGGCCGCGTGGACGAACCGGTTCGATGTGAACTGTTTGAGACCTTTCTCCACCAGGTTGATGGTGTCCCTTACGAGTCTCTCTCCTATGCGTGGGGTGATGCGCCAATATCAAAGGAAATTGAACTATGCGGGAAGAAGGCTGCGGTGACAGAAAATCTCTACTTGGCCTTGAGTTGTCTGAGGCAGCCAGACGAGGATCGAATCCTATGGGTTGACGCCCTGTGTATCGACCAAAGGAGCCATCGAGAAAAGAACCACCAGGTGAAGCAAATGAGGCTGGTTTATTCCAACGCCCAGAATGTGCACATATGGCTTGGGCCAGGTACGGACGACATCGATCTTCTCATGGCTTTGATGAGTCAGCTGGACAAGCGAGCAACTAAAAGGAAGAACTATCGAAGGAATTCGCCAGATGCTTGGGTTAAGGAGTGGTCAATATTCGTGAAGAGAGACGGGACGGGCGAGACCAGCATCAAAACATGCCGGGTCAACGCCTTGAAAGATATGTTAAGCCGGCCATGGTTCAAGAGGGTATGGATCCTCCAAGAGGTTTTCAGCGCCAGGAGCGCTGTTATCAGCTGTGGTCTCAACACCATTCCGACACGGGTGTTTGTTCTCATGCCCAAGCTAATGGGGTTAGAAGTTGACGCGCACACCCAAGCTGTCTTGGATATCATGCCCGGATACTTGCGGCAAAAGTCATGGTGGAAAGACGCACCGGATCTGTGTTCACTCCTGGGGCGGTTCGGTGCAAGCAAGGCCACCGATCCACGCGATAATATTTATGCGCTGATCGGGATAGCGTCGGATGCAAATGCTGATGGGATACTGCAGCCAGACTACAACATGTCCCTGCACCAAGTGATTGAAAACACGATTTTGTATCTGAAATATCGACAAATACCGAGCATCCCAGGCCCTGAGCCGTCTACGAAGTGGGACTTGAAGCATCTACTAAATCAACTGGACCAGATCCCCAGTCAAGCCTTTCAATGGGCAATCAGACAAGGAAACCAAGCAGCGGCGGCAGCAGTCGTCGCCAGGCCAAGCTTCCACGTCAACGCCTGGCACACCTCTCGAGGACCACCGTTGGTCTTCCTAGCCGACAAACCAGGCTACGAGTCCCTCTTCTCTTGCCTCCTCGTCCTTCCTCACTGCAACACCAACGTGAAGGATTGCAACGGTGACACGGCGCTCAACATCATCGCCCTCCAGGGCCACCTCGAAATGGCCAAACTCCTCCTCAACTGCAACGACGTCAACGTCAACCACAAAGGCCGCGGAGGGCAAACCCCCCTCGGCTCCGCCCTCATGTACGGACACCATCTCATCGTCGACATGCTCCTCGCCCGGCCCGACATCGACATCAACCTCCCCTCCGGCCTCAACGGCATCCCCTTTACCCCCCTGTACATAGCCTGCGAAGACAACAAATCCACCTATGTGAACAAGCTCCTCGACCGGGGCGCCGAACTGGAGACTCCCTGCAACGAAAACGCTTCTACCGCCCTGTGGGTAGCCTGCAACCAGGGACACCAACCCATCGCCAAAACCCTCGTCTCCCGCGGCGCCAAAATCGACGCAAAGGACTCGTCAGGACGGACACCGCTCTGGATGGCGGCCGTTGCCAATCACCCCTACTGCGTGAGGATGCTTCTCGATGAAAAGGCCGACTACGGGCCCGGGGCATCAAGCGAGAATAGAACCGTGCTATGGAAGGCAGCATCGATGGGGCACGGCAACGCCGTCAAGGCGCTGACGATGTATTTCCAGCAAAAGGGGGTTGTGCACGAGGTCTTGCAGCAGGAGAGGGACTCCGAGAACCAGACTAGTGCGCTCTGGATCGCGGCGAGGAACGGGCACACGAGCGTGGCGCAGCAGCTGATTGGGTTTGGGATGGATATTAATTCTTCGGGACACTATGGGCAGACGGCGCTGTGGATTGCTGCCAGGCATGGACACGCAGAGACGGTGCTGATGCTGCTCAGGGAGGGGGCGGATAGGGAGGTGTTGGATGTGTATAATGGGTTGACGGCGAGGGAGGCAGCGGAGGAGTTTTGGCAGGAGAGGGTGGTGGATGTGTTTCGGACGGAGGAAGGGTGGGAGAAGGCGAGGGTGGTGAGCAAGTTGGCTTTTTGAGAAGGCTGTCGAGGGTTGAGCAGGTACTATATACGGGGATCATCTTCTGGCCCGGGGAGGCAGGATGGAATGTGGCTGTATTGCTGTGGATTATTGGCATTAATATCCACAGACACCGTGTATCAGCAATTTTTGAATGTCTGTCGACTATCAGTTGGAACCCCTTGGCCGTTATTGAAGGCCTATCAAGCACATTTGAATGCCTATCAACTATATTTCTAGGCCTATCGACTGTCCTTGCGCGCCTAACCACAATCCTTTAACGCCTGATGACCATCTTTGAACGCCTTGTGGGTATGTTTTCCTGTCTAGTGACTATCTCTGGAGCCTTGTGCAGACGCAATGGCCTCACACTCTCGAGTCAACATTTGCATGTCGAAGTTGTCGACGAAACATATCAGATCTTGGGGTCCGATCGTTGTGAATTGCAGCTCTCTTCTCATCTTCTGCACGTCGGTAGCATATATTACCTGGTTGAGTTTGAGGTGGGCAGCTCCATCAGACGGCGAGAACGTGGGGTCGTCTTCTTGATCTCTACCCATAGTCACACGATGATTGATAGCGGTTAGCTGTTGTTTGCCTGTGGTGTATCCGCCGACGAGAAAGTCATCACCACGAGTGGCATCCTTGGATAGCAGAGGTCCGTTGCTGCATTGTACGTTCCACGGAAACCTGTTGCAGGACCGAAGTTGGTTTAGGACCTTATTCGGGAAATCCTCCTCATGACTTGTTATACTCTCTGGCTGTTGGTGATGATTCTTTCTGCTTAAGCATTCCTACCGAGAGGTATACCAGGGCTTGATGAGACAAAACATACGCTTGACTTCAAGGACATGAAGCTTAAAACAAAGAATGGGATGAACCCCAAAATAAAGGGGGGGTGGGGGGGGGGAATGAAGAAGTTTAGCTGCAACTTGTTTCGATCAAGTGACCTCCGGGTTATGAGCCTGGCGCGCTTCTCTTGCGCCATGCAGCTTCTCAACTGTGGATATTGTAATGAGTCACATCTTGACGTTATGTTGACCCAGTCTGTAGCACTTTTGCTTTGTTAAGAGGACTGCTACCTAGCATTGTGCAGACAATAGGCACAAGGTATGATGAGTCGTTTTGACACAAGCTAGTTCTAGTCAACACTCCTCATAGATGTGAGAAATCTTCCCAGGGAAGAGATTGATGCTGGTAGTTTCAAATGTGTTCATGTGTAGCCTCGACAAACTCAAAGCCGTAGATCTCTCGTTCGTAATTCCTTTGTTAATTTTTTGTTACCAGTACGTATCAAGCCCAGAGACGACTCGGGAGTATCCAAGATACAAAGGAATTTAGTTCCAAGCGTTATTTTCAACACAAGGTAGCCAATATGGCTGCAATTCCCGTGATTCTCAGCCCACAAATTCAGGCACCCTGAATAAACATAAATGTTACTTCGATTTGGCATTTACCCCATACAATCAGCCAGTGTCACCCGCTTACCTTTTGGCCTTTATCTTAAAGAGTCAAACTTGGTCGATGAGCTAGACCGTATTCGAAATGAGGCAGAGGCTCTCAGATTGGTTCAACAGCACACTGATGTGCCAGTCCCGCGTCCACTCGATATCGTCTATCGACCGGGCGGCCGCCAAGTTGCATTCATTCTCATGACGGGGCTTCCGGGCTTTCAACTTGTTCAATCCCTCAATGCGTCATCCAACAGGGACGCGAGGCAGATTATCGGGCAACTTGAAAATTACATGTCATAAATTTGCGGGATCCCGACTACCGCCAGCGAGACCATGGCCATATGAAACACCCTCGGGGGTTCCATTGCTGACATGCGACTTCGTGGTGGGAAACCGTTGGGGCCGTTTCGTGACGAAGCAGACTTCAGCAAGCTCATGAGGTGCTCTGACGACCCAGGTCGACAAGGTCATGAAATTGTGTTCACGAACGCAGATCTGAACCCGAGAAACATTCTAGTGGATCAGTTCAAACGGCCTGACGGGACCAGAGGGTGGATGGTCACTGGGATAATTGATTGGGAAATGGAAGGATTCAATCCGTGAATATTGGGAGTATACAAAGGCCATGTTTGAAGGGCAAGCTGGCCAAAGAGGTACAACGATTGGATTCATGGTCTGTGGGCAAGGTTTGGAGATTATAGCAAGGAGATGGATGTGGAGTTGAGAGCTTGGGCATCTGGAGACGCAGTTTGATAGACGGGCGTGTTGCTCATGTCAAGATCGAAACTTCCGACTCACTAGATTGAATGATTTTCGCAGGATGTTACCAGATGCCACGGCTCACCAAGCCTTTACACACAAATAAGTCAGACCGTAGCAGTCCTATGACGTAAAGAGCTCTCGGGATTTGAATGACGAGCCGTGCTGTACTCCAGGCCATATAATCCCACCATTCCCATGTATTTTCTTAGATTGCCTGAGATCCTTCAGCGAGGTCTTAGAAGGCCACCCGCTTCTGCCAAGGGCTGTGTTTGACCATCATCAGGAATTCAGACAAGTCATGCCAGTCGGGAAAGTGGTGAGAGATTAGGAGCCCATGGAAGATTCATTTGTGTGGCAGTAAGTTCCGGGATAAGGCCGATGCAGGCTGACCCCCGAAACGAATCGCAGCATGATGAAAACCCGGTCACAATGGTTGCTATACAGACAATTCAGATCTTGAAATGCCCCTGCTTGAGACCCGTGTAGGTGCGGGCTTTGACTATCACAGAGGATGAAAACCGTCCGAGGGGTTGTTCCTGATTTTTGATGTGCGACTCTCTCACCAGTTAGATACCATGCACCGACTTGGTTGGCATCGTAGCCGCTCTACAGCAGATTCACCACCCTCAATAAACAACCCAACCAAAATAACCGGAACGGATCATCCAGTCCACTTCTGTCTGTTGTGTCCGCACCAATTGCGGAAAGCCGGGTGCTGCGGGCCCAGCGCTGCCGTGAGAAGGCCCGGGTAAATACTCTGTTGATATTGATCCCGCAGCACCTCTCCAATATGCGCTCACAAACCTCATTTGTCGCTGCTCGTCCGCGTGCCCGTTCGGTCCATATTAAACCTCAATCATGCCGTGGAACACTATACCCCAGATTTCTCGAGCGGATAGAGCGTGTTCCACCACACACCAACCCACACCAGTCTGGGGACCCCGGCTGGGGTGCAGACATGTTGCCTTCGGCAAATGCAGCCACTCGACCAAAGAGTGATCACGGTAGTATACTCCTGATTGAGCCTCCTGTCCTGGCTTGGACAGGGTGAGATTTGACAAGTCAAGGAATCGAGGGCCGGTAAGTGAGCTCGGTTGGAACGCCCCCGTATGCATGCATAGCTTTGACAGCCCAACGGTCGAGTATGACGAGTGGGCGCGAGTGAGAACCTGGCCAGCCACCCCCTACATCTGGGGTAGAGTGGAAGCAGCCAAACAGTGAGAGGTATATATCACCGAAAAAAAAGCGGTTGTCCTCCCCTCCCCCTCTCTCTGCCCGTTGCTTCGTCAGTGGCTTGCTTCCATTCTTCCATCTTGACTCCATCCGGGTTTCAGTTCAAAATGAAGTCGACATTCTTTGCTGCCTTGACGGCACTGGCCGCCAAAGAGATTGCTGCCCATGCCACCTTCCAGCAACTCTGGGTTGACGGTACCGATTATATAAGTCTTCTCTCCTGGTGTTGACCTGGACCTGTGACTGACCTTTTCAGCACGGCTCCTCCTGCGCTCGTCTCCCCCCTTCCAACTCGCCCGTCACCAACGTCGGAGGCCGTGACTTTGTGTGCAATGCCGGTACTCGTGGCGTCGCTGGCAAGTGCCCTGTTCGCGCCGGCGGCACCGTGACTGTCGAGATGCACCAGGTATGCCTCTACCCCATGGTTTCCTTCCGCACCGTCACTGAAACCCTACCCACAGCAAACTGGTGACCGGTCCTGCTCTCAAGAAGCCATCGGCGGCGCCCACTACGGCCCCGTCCAGGTCTACCTCTCCAAGGTCCCAGACGCCTCCACCGCCGACGGCACCTCCACCGGCTGGTTCAAGATCCTTTCCAACTCGTGGTCCAAAAAGGCTGGCGGCCGCGTTGGTGACGATGACAACTGGGGCAGCAAGGATCTCAACGCCTGCTGCGGCAAGATGGACGTCAAGATCCCCGCTGACATCCCCTCGGGCGACTACCTCCTCCGTGCCGAGTCGCTAGCTCTCCACGCTGCTGGTCCAAGCGGTGGCGGTCAGTTTTACATGACCTGCTACCAGATCACCGTCTCCGGTGGTGGCAACGCTAGCCCCGCGACGGTGAGGCTCCCCGGTGCCTATGGTGCCAGTGAAGGGCAGGTGAACATCCACGCTGCGCTTACTTCTTACACCGCCCCTGGACCGGCGGTTTATTCTGGTGGTGAGACTAGAACTCCTGGTGGGGCTTGCACTGGGTGTGCGTCAACCTGCAAGGTTGGCTCTTCTCCTTCCGCGATTGCTCCAGGAGGCGGTGGTTCTTCTCCTGCTGCTGGCGGTGGTAGTGATGCTGGCGGCGGCAACTCCGGTTGCAGTGTTGCCATGTATGGGCAGTGTGGCGGTAACGGGTATACTGGATGCACGAACTGCGCTGTAAGTTGTTATGAGTGAACCCTTTTTCCAAAGTGGCATCAATGCTGACCCTTCGACAGAGCGGATCTTGCAAGGCTGTTTCGCCTCCTTACTACTCGCAGTGCGCTTAAAATACTGGTGGCTTGATTGGGAGGTCCGGAGGGTAGATTGAGGATAGTTGAATCAAGGTGGTGGGCACGGGTGGCGTGGTGGTGAGTGCGAGATTTGTATGCATAGCATTCGTATATATGAGTAACTATCTGGGTATGACCATTGTCAGCTACGTCAAAATCATCTTTAACTCCAAGTAAACCATTCAAACGTACATGAGATACCCGCTGCCGTGTTGCGTAGTAGGGCTAAAGTATACACGCATTGATCTAACTCTACCCCTCAAGCCCATAGAAACATCCAATCCAACGTCGTTTGAGCGCTAATATTCGGTGTAAGAGCTGGAAGCCGGTGAGCACATCAACCCAAGATAGATACTTAGCAATGTGTTCATCAAAAAAAATGTCTGTTGGCCAGCCTTCTAGCATTGGTATATACAACCTGGCACCCGCAGTCCAGCACCCCTCCCCGCACATGCAATCGTTCTTTTCGTTCCTTTTCCTTTTACTGGCTAGGGTTCCCACCCTCCCGCGCAAGACGCTCAGCCTCCAGCTCCCTCTCGGCTTGTCTGTAATACTTGGCGGTGTCAACACCGTGCTGGCTGTGGTTGACAAAGTTGAACCAGGGGAGCACAGCCATGAAGAGAGCGGAATATCTAGACTGGCGGGCGGCAACACCCTGCATGGCGGGAGTAAGCTGACTTTCGCCGTAGATAGGCTCGCCGCGCTTGACCTTGTCGACCATCTCGCGCATGTCCATCTGGACTTCCCGGGCGTTTTCGCTCATACCGTAGAAGCGCACTATCAGAGCCGTCAGTTCCTGTCTCTAGTACCGCCTGCACCCTCCCACATTATCCGAATTCTTCTAAACCCGGCCCGAAGCCCGACTGTTGCCTCGATATGCTGTGATGGAGCGATGACGTACGAATAGACCGCTGGTAGAAGTAGATGAAACCACCACACAACCCCATGGCACCACCCAACCGCATGGTCTGGGCGACACCACCCTTTCCGACATATGAGGGAGCAAATCTCTCCATGGCGTAGAGAAGACTGGGGCCGGCGGCGGCAGCGACGATGCCGTGGACGTAATCGGACGGCCGGGCGTACCGAATTACACGCTTGAAGTGCCTGGATTGTTACCAATCGATGTTAATTCCTGTCCATCTCCGTGCTCGAGAACTTTGACATCTAGTAAGGGGGGGACCATACGGATCATTATCGATGAGCTGTGTGCAAACCCCAGTTAGCTTGGTCCCCTTCAATTGGGTTTCACGGCACCGCAAAACTCACTGGGTACTCAGTCTTGATCTGCTTGCTGATGGTATACGTGTTTCCGGGAGTGGTCGACATTTTGACTGACTGGGCCTGGCCGGCGATTTCCGTCGTCGTCGTCGTCGAGCAGGGCGGGCGCAGGCAAGCGAATTGAGGTCGTCTGGATTGGCTCGTTCCTTGAAGCTTGCTGGACCCAGGCCGTTGAAGCTCCAGCAGTGGATTGATGCCTGAGGCAAATATCATGTCAACAAGTCTTGGCGGGAATTCAATGTGGCTTGTGCGCTGCGGGGCAAGCCACAACCACTTACACAGCTTGACGCGCGACGCGCCAACCATCTCAAAGTCGCGTCTCTTTTAAATGGTCTTGTCTACCCCCAAACCCAACAACACCAGTTGAAGCAACAAAAGTTGCGATAGTCGACCACGAAGTATTCTCACAATGCCCGCCGCAGCAGGTCCAAGCAAAGTCACCAATGGCAACAAAAAGGACAGCGGTGCTTTTGTCGATAGTTTTCTAGAAGGATGGAGCGACTTTGACGAGGAAGACCCGTTCGGTTCCCCGAAAGGCGACAAATCCAAGAAGACCGATGACAAGAAGACCGACGCCAGTAGTAAAAAGAGAAAAGGGACCGATGTTCTCGGGTTAGAAACAGAAGTCGACAAGAAGAAAGCTCGTGTTCCCAGAGTCAAGCTTGACGATGCCCGGTATACACTTCGCCTAGCCCCCGCCTGATCTGGTATGTATGCTAATATCATGACTAGACTACTATCAGACAAAGGCATCCCATGGCTCCGAAAAAACGCCCAATCCAGACTAAAGCTCAAAGGCAAAGGCCACGAATTTTCCGACGCTGCCCGAATGTTATCGTTCTACCAGGAATGGCTTGACGAACTCTTTCCCAAAGCCAGCTTCCTTGACGCATTGGCAATGGTGGAAAAGGCTGGACACAAGACCTCGTTGCGGAACGCCAGGATGAAATGGATTGATGAGTTGAAACCCAGAGGCGAGGGAGAGGAGGGTCCGAACGACGTAGACCCGTTTCCGATTTACGAACATGATAAGACACCAAAAGATACAGGAAGGATTGCGCCTGTGTTCGATAAGGCCAAGGAACGACCGAAGACACCCGATGGGGATGATTTGTTTGGAGACGATGACATCTACAATGCCACGCCAAGAGCTGCGACCAAGGGGGCTAGGGGTGAAGGCGTTCCGGACGATGATGATTTGGATGCGCTGATGGCAGAGGCAGAGGCTAACTCTGGGCAGCCACCAAGAAGCATATTTGGGAACGGGTCGGAGAGCATATTTGGGAATGGGACAAGTAACAGCACGGCAGCGGCACCACCAAAACCACAGGCGAATAACATACCAGAGGATGACGATCTGGACGCTCTGATGGCCGAGGCAGAAGCGGAAACATTGTCCACTAGACCGAACCAGTCAACCAAGAGCATACTTGGCGATGGCAATTCCAAACCATCTGCCCCGCAAAGGAAAGAAGTGGATGACTTTGATGATGACGATTTGGATGCGCTTATGGCCGAGGTTGAGGCCCAGCCACCTACGAAGGCACCGAGCGCGCCCAAGTCTACGGAGCCTACGAAGGTTAATGATGAGGAGGACGATCTTGACGCTCTGATGGCAGAAGCAGAGGCAGAGGGAGCGTCTTCTAAGCCTGTTCCTGAAACCCAGAAGGAGGCTGGGGCCAAAAAAGACACCAGCTTTGACGATGATGAGGCGGCAATGGCAGAGATGGATGGGTTGTGGTAAAAGGCCAGTGGTACTCCGTATGCGGCAAGAGCCAAATGTTCATTTATTTTAGAGACACTAGTTTAAACAACTGTGTCACCATTCAAACAGTATCCTTGAAGACGAAGACGGCGCTATGTTTCTGGGCCCCCTTTAAAGATATGATGCAACCCTAACCCCTGCGTGCCTGTCGAGCTGTCACAAAGGTGCATCCTTGTCAGGCTACCCCACAAATGATTTGGCGGGGCAAGTCGATGAAGCTGCGACCTTGCTGTCTTCCAGGCTGGAGTCGTCCATGTTTGGGCACAACATCACACCTTGAACTCGGTCGAAAATATCACTTGATTTTTGCAAGCAGTGGACGAGACCATCACACTACCATTACCGCCGAAATGGAGACCGATCTCCATGATGCCATACAACGGCTTCACCTGGACAACAATTCCACATTCGATGCAATTGACGACATCCTTGACCACAAGGTAGTTAAGCCGCCCAAGAAGCAAGACCCTGATGAGCTGCGCGCCGAACTCGAGCGGAACTTCCTGTCGCCATCGACCACATTCTCGGACGAGTGGCTCGACAAGCTTCAGCAACGATGGGACACCCCGATTGACTACTCCCTGCTCTTCAACATTGCGCCCAGCCAAACCCGCACCGTCACCCGCTTCGTGCGTCATGGGCTTGAGGGTCGGGTCACAGGCTACAGAAATGTCACCGTTCCGGCCTCGCATGCCACGGCGAAGAACAGCACGTCCATGACTAGGAAACCCGCCAGCAGATCTGAATTTGTCCGGGGTGGCGCCGGGTTCTTCCCTTTCGCTCCTGGTGGTTTGGAGGGTATCGAGTCAACAGCTGCGTTGGAGGATCAGCTGCGAGCTTCGGCTGCCATTGAGGAAGCTGACAGCAGGAAGAAACTAGAACGTGTTATCAAGCTTGGATCCGGTGGTCTGCTTGAGGTTGCTCCGGGTGTCTCCAGAGGTATCGACTTTACGAAAAGGAGAAAGGTTGCGGATGAAGAGGCGGAAAAACAGGCGAAGGAAGTCGAAGAGGTCTTGGATCAGGAGCCCGAGGCAGCTCCTGACCAAGAGGATGAGGACGCCGACAAAGCCCCAACGAATGGTGCTTCTGACGAGAACGAGGAAGAGGAGGATCTCGAGGATATCGACTCCATTCTTCCAGTGGAGTTCCCAGCTCTGGAACCCCATGGCAAACTTGCAGCATCCAGCGCTAGAAAGGCAGGCCGCGAATGGGCGCACATGGTGGATATCAACAGACCAATGCCCAACTTCCAGGAGCTGGTGCCAGATCCAGCCAGAGAATGGCCATTCGAACTTGACAACTTCCAAAAGGAAGCCGTCTATCATCTTGAAAATGGCGACTCGGTGTTCGTCGCAGCCCATACTTCTGCAGGCAAGACAGTGGTGGCTGAATACGCCATTGCTCTTGCGGCAAAACACATGACGAAGGCTATTTACACATCCCCGATCAAGGCGCTCAGCAACCAAAAGTTCCGTGACTTCAGACAGACGTTCGACGAGGTTGGTATTCTGACTGGTGATGTTCAGATCAACCCAGAGGCCAGCTGTCTCATCATGACTACGGAGATTCTGCGCAGTATGCTTTACCGTGGAGCCGATATCATCCGCGATGTCGAGTTCGTCATCTTCGACGAGGTCCACTATGTAAACGACTTTGAGCGTGGTGTTGTCTGGGAAGAGGTCATCATTATGCTACCAGAGCATGTGTCCTTGATTCTTCTTTCTGCTACCGTCCCCAACACTCATGAGTTCGCCTCGTGGGTAGGACGCACAAAGCAGAAAGATATTTACGTCATTTCTACGCCGAAGAGACCTGTGCCGTTAGAGCACTATCTCTGGGCCAACAAAAACATCTACAAAATCGTCGACTCTGAGAAGAGGTTCGTCGAGAAGGGGTGGAAGGATGCGAATGCGGCTATGCAGGGCAAGGACAAGCCACCAAAGGCCATCGAGGCCGCACCAGCTCGGGGTGGTGGCAACCAGAGAGGTGGTGGCCGTGGAGGCCAGCAAAGAGGGGGCAATCAGCAACGTGGCGGCGGTCGGGGTGGCGGACAACAGCAGCGTGGGAGAGGTGGACCACCACGCGCGAGCCACAATCCCGGACATATGGGCCGGACAGGCCGACCAGGAGGGTTTACATCTGCTGCTCAGGACAAGAACTTGTGGGTTCACCTCGTCCAGTTCCTCAAGAAGCAGACTCTTCTTCCGGCCTGTATCTTCGTCTTTTCCAAGAAGAGATGTGAGGAGAATGCAGATGCTCTGAGCAACCAGGACTTCTGCACCGCTCAAGAAAAGAGTGCGATTCATATGACGATTGAGAAGTCGATTGCTCGTTTGAAGCCCGAGGACAGAACTCTGCCCCAGATTGTGCGCCTTCGAGAGCTGCTCTCGCGAGGTATCGCAGTCCATCATGGTGGTTTGCTCCCTATCGTCAAGGAGTTGGTGGAAATTCTTTTCGCCCAGACTCTGGTCAAGGTTCTTTTCGCGACTGAGACCTTCGCCATGGGCCTGAACTTGCCCACGAGAACAGTTGTCTTCTCGGGATACCGCAAGCATGACGGCCATTCTTTCCGCAATCTCCTTCCTGGTGAATACACACAGATGGCTGGTCGGGCCGGTAGACGCGGTCTCGATACTGTCGGTTCCGTCATCATTGTGCCTCCTGGTGGCGATGAAGCCCCCCCTGTCACTGATCTCCGGCAAATGATTCTCGGAGAGCCTAGCAAGCTCCGGTCTCAATTCCGCCTGACCTACAATATGATCTTGAACCTACTACGCGTCGAAGCTCTGAAGATCGAGGAAATGATTAAGCGTAGTTTCTCAGAACACGCCACTCAACAGCTCTTACCCGAGCACGAGAAGGCGGTCAAACTATCCGAGGCAGATTTGGCAAAGGTCAAGAGGGATTCTTGTCAGATTTGTGACGTTCATATGGACGAATGTCACCAGGCGGGTGAGGACTTCAAGCAGTTGACAGAGGAGCTGTATCGCGCGTTGCTGAACATTCCGATTGGCCGGAAGATGTTTACGCCTGGTCGTCTCATCGTCTGGATGAAGGAAGGTGTCCGCACTCCTGGTTTGTTGCTCGCTGAAGGCGCCAGCACCAAAAGCAGCGCGACGGTTCCAATGTTGCATGTTCTCGAAATTAGGACGAATCGAGAAATTCGCAATGACACGGACTTGCTGCCCTTTGTGCCCAGTCTACGCAAGTACTACACGTCACTTCCCCAGGCCAAGAAGCATATCGGGACCAAGACATTGCACATCCCCCTGAGTGACTTGGTATGCTTGACAAAGTATGTCACCAAGGGCATCCTGCCAGACATCTTTGGCAGCGGCGAAGGCTACCAAAAAGCCAAGGACAAGCTTCATACCATCTGCCGCACCTGGGCCTCTGATCACTGGGATGAGATGGATCTGGGCCGCATCAAGAGCCTGGCTATTCACGACATCATTAACAAGCGCCGTGAGGCGGAGGTCAAGCTCACAAAATCCGCCGCTCCGCTTTGCACGTTCTTCTTGAAGCACTACGCCATGTGCCACGATCAGTGGCTCATCAAGACCAACATCGACCAGCTCCGCCAGGCCCTCTCCAACCAAAACCTGCAGCTCCTCCCCGACTACGAGCAGCGTATCCAGGTTCTCAAGGACCTTCGCTTCATTGACGAAGAAACCCGGATCCAGCTCAAGGGCAAGGTAGCCTGTGAGATTCACTCTGGCGACGAGCTTGTCCTTACCGAGCTCATCCTCGAGAACGTCCTCGCCGACTACGAGCCCGCCGAAATCGCCGCTCTGCTCTCGGCGTTTGTCTTTCAGGAGAAGACAGAGTCCATCCCAAAGCTGACGCACAACCTAGAGAAGGGCATGAAGACTATTGTCGAGCTCTCCGAAAAGGTCAATGCGGTGCAGACTCTCCACCAGGTTATCCAGACATCAGAGGAGTCCAACGACTTTGTCAGCAAGCCTAGGTTTGGGTTGATGGAGGTGGTGTATGAGTGGGCCAAGGGTGTCAGCTTCAAGAATATCACGAATCTGACGGATGTGTTGGAGGGAACGATTGTGCGGACGATTTCCCGGTTGGATGAGACGTGCAGGGAGGTGAAGAATGCGGCTAGGATTATCGGTGATCCCGAGTTGTATCAGAAGATGACGGTGGCGCAGGAGTTGATCAGGAGGGATATTACTGCTGTGGCTAGTCTTTATATGTAAACGCGGCTGACTGCTAGCGATTTGCATGATGTTATGGGTTATTTGGTGGCCAGTTGGGAGTTATGGGGTCATATGGCAGGCGCTGATTTGGCAAGATGAAGGTTAGCTCTGGAGGAGAATATGGCTCGTTTACTTCAACGAAGGAATGCTTCAAAGTTGAGCGACATATAAGCATGAGAGCTTCTCTGGTGGGAATCATGAGTTTGAGCGTTGGTGGCGGCTTGAAATACAAGCTCTTGCAATGTCTTGATATATCTTGGCCACATGTGACCCAAATTGACTATGACGTGTGATCTATTCCAACACTTTCCCCCAACCACAAGGATCATAACCCATGGTAAAGTCCTCTTGGGACTTCCAAAGCATCATGCCTGGCAGTATCAAACCCGATAAACGCCAAAACGCCAAAACGAAAAATAGAAATTCTTCCTCCTTAACCCAGGAAACCAAATATACCTCATTTCGTAATCTCGTGTTCGTCGTTCCCTTCCCATCCACTACCCTTCCCAAAAATCTATGCCCGCAAAGCCCTCAACCTCTGCTGCAGCGCATCCTCCTCCTCCGCCGTCGGCTCCACGGCCTGCGCCGGCTCCTTCACCGGATCAACCTTGCTCGCATTCGCCTTTGCCAGCTCCTGGTTCAACTCCAACCCCGCATCATCCGCCAACTTGCCCAACAGCTCATGCACAGCATCATCGCTGACCTGCACCGAAGTGTTCTGCGTCATGGCGTCCTGATAAATCCCATTGGACATGGCGTACTCTTCGTTCTGGCTGCGGAACTGCTCGAGGGTCAGGAGCGTCTTTTCGGGGTTGGCCTGGCGCTGGGCGCGCTGCATCGTGCGGGAGGACTGGGCCATCATGTGCGTCATGCGGTTCATTGCGTTGTTGGCCTGGATCTGGGCGAGGGAGAGCTCGGCCATGTCGGCGGCTTGGTCCATTTGGGCGGCGATGGCTTGTTTGGCAAGGAGCATGCGGGCTTTTTGGGCGGCTTGGGCGGTTTCGCCTTTTTTGAGGAGCTAGATTTCGAGATGGGAGGTTAGAGGGGGGGGGCAGATAATGGCCAAGCGGGGGAAGAAGGGGAGAGATACGTTTTGGATTTGCTTCTTTAGCTCGTTGTCTTGTTTGGCCGCCTTTTGGGCTTCGCGGCGGGCTTGCTTGGCGTTGAACTGAGAGGGGAGGGAATGTTAGCAGAGGAGCATGATGATAGTTGCCACTGCTGTCGGCGACAAGGGAATCGTGGGGTGCCTACTCGCGCCTGAAACTCGGTTTGCATATCCCGAGCGAGTTGTCGATTTGCCATGGTGGCGGCTGTGATTCTAGAATGTTGTTTGTACAAAAGGGTTTGGCCCGAAAAGAAGGACGTCGTCGAGGGGGACGGTGAGGTTTGCGCGAGCGTTTCGAGGTGGTGATATCGTTGTCGTTGCAAGGCAGTGGATTGATTGATTTGGCGAGGCGCAAGGTTGTTAGGTAACGTCAGCTGCCTTGCGTCCCAGCTGCCGGCCGCAGTTGGCTCGGCTGGCAGAGTGCGGGGCTCTGGCCGAGAAAATGGTGGGGTTCTCAGGGGGGTCAAATCCAACGCCACAAAGCATGACGCAGTTGGGTGACAGGGGCCTCTTCACCGCTCACCCTATTCAGTGGCACGTTGTGGCTTGTGCTGTGTTTTTTTTTTTTTTGGCCTCAAGGGAAAGGGGCAACCCGTGAATAATGGATACCGAGGACCCGAGCCACTGTCTACACGGACGGAAGGTGCACAAAAACACGCTCGGCAATGGAAGGCGGATACGGGATTGAGCCTGCCCCCTCGGGTGAACGAACAGTGAACCGTGGAAAGGTGAAAGTGGGTCTACGTCAAGCCAAAACTTTGGTCCCACTGCGAGGAGCACATGGATGCTGCTAGTTTTGACTTTTCAGGCATCGAAAGACAATTTTCTTCCAGTCCTCGTCCTCGGATCTGAACCAGTGAGACATTTGATTACCACGAAAAGACACTCTTAGACGGCATCTCTCCCCAAAACACCATCCACATGAGTAACTACAACATGTCGGCGATGCGGAAACACAACGTCACGACATTTCCGCGTCCCCCCGTGGTGGACCGAGTCCAGAGACACATCCAGATCAAGTGGCATGGCCAACTTATAGCCGATTGCCCGCCCGGTGAGGCTTACTGGTGTCTGGAGACCCATCACGCGCCCAGTAGGTTGCCCCCCTTCTAGTCGACAAGTTCCGCCAGGTCGAGTCCGGAGATGGAGTCAGTCGGTCCACCGTCTTCCCGCCATTTCCCTCCGGCGACCCGGCCAGGCCGTTGAGCTCCATCCAGATCGGGGTCTCAATCCACTCTTCGAGCTCCCATCTGGCGGTGATATGCAGGGACCCGACGCTCGATTTCAATGGCAGACTCATCATGGCCAACCGCTAACCTTAACCTTTTTGCCGCGTGTAGCTTACTTCATCCCACCCTCCCGCGTCAGACTTCCTCTCTCGACGACTCCTCGTACCTCCTTTGACGAGTTCAGAGGTCCCATAACCTACTACGCCATGATGAGCCCCATCAACGCGGCTGACACGGTGAGCAACCGCATCTGGTCGTTCAACGAGCCTCCAAAAGATTTTGAGGCCATCAAGGGCTATCTGGCCTTCTTTGCGGGTCCTTGGGAGTGCTATGTCGACGGCGAACGCGCCCAGTCTCCCCCGCAAGACTTCTACGGCGGGTGGGTCACGAGCGATATTGAAGGCATCAACAAGGCTCCTCATCCTTGGGGCGTTCCCCCCCCCTGGGGCCACGAGCAGTTCTAGAGGAGCAATCAATCGAACGAGTTCCAGAAATCGGTGTGTCTGTTTTGAGGGGGTTTTATGCTCAACTCTGAAGACATAATGGCGTCTGAGCGGTCAGCATGTTTAGTGTCAGGCGTTTGGGGTCTGCAAAAATAAAAAAGGGGGAGGGAACATTGGGGGCATTAGGGATCTGGCGATTGGGTGGCAAGCATTGATAGACGGGGGACTTGAACATAGAGCAGCCAGTATTATATTGTACATAAACAGGCCTTTTCAAAATTTGTGCGTCTGGATGGGTGATCAAGAGAAAGAGATCTTGCATGTACATACAGGACGTGATGTTGGGAACGTGAAGAGATCGGGGGACGGTGGTATGGCTCAGATGTCGCGACATCCAGCACATAATATACCTCTCTTCAGAGGACCGAGGGTCCGGGGGCCATCATGACATTGTATGCTTTGGCGCCGTCACCAACAAGCGTGCCGTCCACTCTTCATGTGCGGACCAACGCTCTACCCATGCGAGTTCCTGCCGCTTGACATGACTTTACCCCAGACTTCTGGGGGGCATCCACATGGTTGACATTGGTGTGACAGGCAGCCCCAGCGCCATGACAGAAAACGGGGGAATGAGAACAAGGAAGGAACGGATCGATAGGTGGACAAGATGCGGAAGATCACTACCGATGAGTGGCACCTGGAGAATCTGGGGAACTGGGGGGATCCAACCCGATCCAGCTCCATCCCTCCATTCGAGGCCCGTTTGGTTTTTACCCCAGGTTCCATAATAAAGAGTTTGCTCCACAGGATGGAGTGCTGTGGGTGGGAAAAAGAGGGACGATCACGGATGGATTCGTTCGATTGGAGTTAAGGCCTGTGGAGTTGTGGGTTTTGTGGTTTGCTTGCCCGTCGTCCCGTTTGTGCTTCGTCTCCAAAAAGTGTGCGTCTCATGCAGCAAGCAGGCACGGATCACAGAGCCGCCTTTGGGGTTGGGATATTGGAAGGCTGGAGGAGTCTGGGGGAATGGCGTCCCGCGGAGGCGACTTGGCGATTGATTGTTATGCGGGGGAGCGAGAGGGAGCGGAAACAAGCGACCGGTTGTCGGTTGGTGAACCCCTTCGCTCGCTTCCATTGCTAGTGTTGGCAGTTCCAAGGGTGGCGGTTCCAAAGCATGTGGATGATGGTTGCAAAGAAACCCCTGGGAAAGCGAAGGGAGGTCGGGCCACTCCACCCGGCCTGCAACCGTGAGTTTCGCCGCCCTTCTCATTGCTCTCCTCCTTATTCCCCTCACCGGGAGGGCCGTTCCCAATCCATCCTTGAATAGACCGGATGTTATGCAGCTTCTGTTGGAAAGGTCCGGTGGAGGGCCGAATTGTCGTCCGAAAACCTCTGGGCGGTGGTATATGGCGCGCCTAATAGCAAAGAGTCGTTATTCTTTGAAGCAGGAACAAAAAAAGAAATTGGGGTTAAATGGAAATATTTATTTGACAGGGCAGATTTTGTGTAACGAGGCGAGCAAGGTAGTAAGCACAAAAAAAGAAAAGAAAATGGCAGACTCCCATTGATTTCCGTCCTCTCCCCAACGGGAAACTTGTGGATTCATCACCAGCGCGTGGCAAGAAGGGGGTTTTGGATCAACCGCTGATCGTCCAAGCGATCGATCAAACAATTTTCTGGTGCAAGCAACTCCCTGCCCTTGGGAAGAACCCTCCCTCTGCCGCACCGAAGGCTCCTTCGCCCGAGTCCAGAGGGAGACCATGATCCTTGGCGTTTCTATTCCGATACCACGCCTTTCCTATTTGGGCCTATTATCGGCATACCCAGACTCGGAATCAGTTGCCCCTCTTGCAGAATATTGTCTCTAGACTCTGGAACGCACATTCTCCCCGCTGATGATGGACTTATTCATGCTGGTCTTTTTGACAAAGGGCGGCATGATAATCTTCGAGTAAAATACTGGGTGGGAAGCGGGGCTTAACTGGGCTTGTGTAGGTAGATACGACAATTATACGGCCTCACGAATGCAGACGTCGTAACCACAGCCAAGCGCCCCGAATACCCGTGACCGCAGGAATAGTGATCCTTCTGGGGGCTGTTGGATAGAAATGCGGCAGTGTCAGCTTCAAGTGGATGCAGTGCACTTCGTCAGCACCAACGCTTATGCCTCTCACCCATCAGCAATGCACCAGGCAGTCAGCCGTTGTCCTACAACCCCGCCATGATAGTGCAGGCAACCATTGAGAAGCAACAATGGAGTTACACCTGGGGAGGAGGCTGAGGTTGTACAAAAGGCCGTACAAAGCAATTGCCGTACACAACCTGGAATACGGCCGAGGACTCCGTTGCCGGTGCCATCTTGATCACTGCCTGATAATTGCTGGGTGGAGTCAAACACCATGCGTATCGAAGCATCAGATACTCATCGATGCTTTCAATATTCTCACTGAAAGTACTCATCCAGACTTCAATTGACATATCTGTCGCCCAGACGGCCCGGTACAATGCCGAAGAGCTCCCGCGTTACGAGAAGCAGGCCAAGAGGGTGGAATTGATTAATGAGGGCAGTTTCTAGAAGTACCGCACCTGGTAAATGGCCATGAACTCCAATCTAAGAGAAGCTCCTCGGCAGCTTCCTCCGCAATGCTTCTCTCAAGGCTTTGCTGCAGGTGCTCGCTTTATTGGTGTTTGGATCCAGGGTCATTCAGCCTGTTCGAGATCCACTTCTCCAGGTTTTGCCATGCCGTCGCTCTCCCATTCCAGATTGCGTACCACCGTGTGATATGATTCTGGACGGAGGCTGGCTCAACCTTTCAACAGTCGTCCCGAATGACCCGATTTTTCTGTGCATTTGCTCCCGATCAAACGGCGCAGGTTGCAGCTGGTGGCACCGCAGTCATATGTGTTGCTAATAATCTCTAGATTGACCGCGGCGTATGGCAGTGGCGAGATAGCGACTCCATTCTCTTTATCACCAAATGGAGCATGGCGAATGGGAACTCCGTAGTTGCTCCAAAAGTCTCCGCCATAGCAATCGGATGACATGCTGCTCCGTACAGGCGGTCTTCTACACATTGTTGTTGCTCTCAGTGCCACCCCCGCCTGTCCATCAATGCATGAGACATCGGTTGAACCACGGAAACTCGCCAGTTGATGCAGAGAGCAAGAATGCCTCAAGCATGTGCTTTCGGATCAACAGACCGTTGAAGCGTCGCTATCCCAATCAGTCCAAGTTAAACCCACAGTGGATGGTGCTAAGTTTGGCGAGACCTATCTGCCACCACCACGAGGCTTATCTGGTGGAGCGATAGACGTACGGCGGCCGGAGTGCGGGAGGAACGTTTCCACCTTCCATTTGACGTTGGCTCAGCCGTCGGCACCCCCTGAACGGGCGTGTGTCAACCCACGACTCGACGGAGCGAGGGCTGATGGAAAAGGCTCAATGGCTGATGGAATCGAAGGGCTGCTACTGCTGCCAATACGCCCCCGCCTCCTCGCATGTTCCAGTGCGTTGTGTGAGCATTGCTCCTCCCTGATCGGTGTTGCTGAAGTCGATGGTGGAGCCACTGGTGGATGCACGTCGGACGTGCCCCTGACAGGCTTCCGTCTGAATATTGTGGGCTCTTCCCTGTTTGGGATGCGGATGTCGCAATTCTTTGTCACTCCTGGATGTGTGGGGCCCTCAATAAGACACCGCAGAGGCCATGTGTGCCTCAGGCAGCCCGACCCCTTTTACAGGCGACGTGGCCAAAAGATAAAAGCACGTCCTGGCCCCAACGTCTGACAGCGTCTCCCCAGCAGACCACCCTCTTTTCCAAAAAAGACACTCTGTCCTTTTGACCACGCAACGCAGCCATCCAGCTCCACCGCAGCCTTGAGTCACGAACAAGGCTTCCACTTTCTGATGGCCTCGTCATTACACGCAATGCGTAATCCTTAGCAATTTCCTTCTTTGACATATTTGTATTGAGGCTTCAGGACGGCACCTCCTTACAGTCAACTCTTTCTGTTACCACCCGCTTCTTTGTCAAACCCGGCTCCACCGAATTGACAAAGCATACGACGCGACATAATCCTACAGAAACAACACGACAAACCTACAAGTCCTCCTTCGTGGTGCAAATACCCAGATACCCATCCCCACCAGCAATTCAAAATGGAGTCCTGGTCCACCGCCCACACCCAGACGCACACCCCGTCGCCGACAATCAAGTTTGAGAACTCGCCAAACGATTCTCTCCTGTCGACCCCTGGCGAGATGTACCCTTCGCTCTTTGGCGCCGAGTCATCCCCCGCTCCTTCCGTTATGGCGGACCCGACATCCGACGTCGCGATGCTGGCCAGCCTCGCCGCTCTCACCCAAGCCAACACACAGTCTCCGACGCCCGTGACCCCTTCCTCGACTGCCGGCACCCCAGAGCCAGAGAAGAAGCCGGTCAAGAAGAGGAAATCATGGGGTCAGGTGCTGCCAGAGCCCAAGACCAACCTCCCACCAAGGTACGATGATGCAATCATGTGGACCCATCGGGGGTCTTTCCCCACAACAAATCATGGAGCTAACACCAGCTTTTAGGAAACGTGCCAAGACTGAAGATGAGAAGGAGCAGCGCCGCGTGGAGCGCGTCCTACGCAACCGTCGCGCGGCCCAGTCCTCTCGGGAGCGCAAGCGCTTGGAGGTGGAGGGTCTTGAGAAGCGCAACCAGGAGTTGGAGGCCGCTCTCGCCAAGGCCACCCAAACCAACGAGTTTCTTCTCGAACAACTCCGCAACGCCGCCAGGCTCGGTGCTGGGGCCGGGTCACCAGAGACCTTCGACGCCCTCAGACTCTCATCGCAACTCAGCTTCTCACAACCATTATTCAGCTCACAAGATGGGCACAGCACTCTGGCCAAGCCAGATTCCCTCTCAACACTTCACAACACACAAAACAACACTACCGTTGACCCAGCGGCCCTGACGCCTATTTCCGAGGTTGATGAAGAGCACGAGCTCCCAGCGACGGTCTCAACGCCTGTTGCGGACTCTACCCCCGTGGTGAAGGCTTCCCCCGATGCGACACAACATCCTGCTGAGATGTTGTGCCAAGACCTGCAGTGTCGGTCGGCGGAAGCACCACCATCGGCGTGGTTGGAGAACTCGCAACAACAGTTGCGCCCAGCGCTGGCTCTCTACTTACAGCTCCAATTCCTTCTCACTTCGACCTCGGCCCTGATTTCTCTCTGTCAGAGGCCTTTGATGCAGATCGCTATGTCCTTGAAAGCGGGCTTCTCTCTTCCCCCGGTTCCAGCACTTTTGACTACGATCATCTGGCTGGTGACGACACCGAAGCCTTCCCGTTCCAGGTCAACAACCTCGACTTTGACTTCAATGACTTCCTCTCCGACGACGCCAACCTCGCCCCCAGCCACGAGCAGCAGCCGCAGCAACCTACCTCCTGCGCGGTCGCAGACTCGTCCCTCCTCCCTGAGACTGAGACTTCTTCGGAAGATCCTTACCTGCAGCCCCAGTCTGGCGCGTCCCTTGATGGATGCGACGATGGCGGCCTTGCGGTTGGTGTCCTCTGATGGATTCACAGTTGACCGGGTTAAGGCAGGCGACGCTTCGGCGGCGGCAGCAGCTGATGGAAAGGAGCAGCAGCAGCAGCAAAGCGGTAGGCCAGCTACATGGCCGACAGGAGTACCACTACCGTCGAAGGAGGTCCTACTCACATTACTGTGGGTCCTCAAGGTTGAGGAGCGGAGACTAGAAATCCGCCAACAAGTCTCGCCCAAACTCGGAAGCAACTCGTGTGTCCCCAAGACAGTGACACCAACAATTAATAACCAGGCAAGACACTATGTCTTGACCGTAGTATCCAAGAGAAAACCGGATTCCCTTGAGGGCGACCGGAAGCGACATCGCTTTGAGTGACGATTTGTATGAAATATTTTGGCTTGGTCGGGTGCATTGGGGTTCAACAAAAGGCTCACATAATGGTGGAGGGCTGGGACCTGGCGTTGATTTGGGAAGCTCTGGAAGCGTAGCACGCTGCGTTCAAATTGAGCATGAATTGAAGTTCACTTTCACGTGTTTTTATTGTCCCATTGGGATTTCTTGTGCTTGTTTATCGTGATCTGTTGGAGGAATGTAGATTCCTGCGACTTTTGAAGCCCAAGGAAAGCCGCGATTGGGCCAGGGCATGATAGAAGACATCCATCCAGGTTAGGATTCGTGAATCCACCATGCAGGTTTCGTTTCCTTTTCACGGGAGGGCTTGGAGGAAGACGAAGTCCCCGAGTTTTGCTGGGATTTTACGCATGAGAAGACTTTCAGAGCCCAGGGATTTCCTCTCCTCTGTCAATTCTTTTTTCTCCTCTGTTCTTTTTCTCTTTATTATCTTATTTTTGCCTATCAATTCGACTTTCCTAATCGAACCCTGGACCTGGACCTGGCCAGTTGTGGGCGCATGTTACCTAGTTAGATCACCGGCAACTTTGATGAAAGTGACTTGGGCTGCGCGGGATTGACTCAGGGACGAACTCAACCTGATCTTGAACACGCACGTACTGCATCTGTTCGTCTGTAAAGAGCACGAGGTAAAGGCACTCATTCCTCACAGCTGGTGATGATATTGTTTCGGTACTGGAGTCATCGCCAATTCGGCGGGTAGCTGTCACAAATCTTCAAGTACCTAGGAAAAAACATTTAGGAGCAAGCCTGGCAGTACTTGGGGAGCATGCTCGGGGAAAGGTTCTTTGATATTTGTTGATTGATTGACTTGATGTGATGTGATTATGTGTCGAAACATAATCGACTGGGCTCTTATTCATAATCTAGATGCATTGCCAGATACTCAATATGTGTTGCAAGCTAGGTAATCAATGTGCATTGGAATACGGTCAATAGGCCTCGTTAAATAGTAAACAGGCCTTTTGGGATAGTCAACAGGTCTTTTAAGATAGTAAGCAGCCCTCTTGAGATAGTTAATAGGCCCTTTAAGATATCAACAGGCCTCTTAAGATGGTTGATAGGTCTTGGAGTTGCATTTAAGGGCTTGTTTTCTGGTCTTTTCGGCATATTAAATGTCATTTGATGCCGCTGAGTGGTTGATCTTGTCACGTATTCCTGGCTACCGAGTGTCTAATGAGAAGGACAGGTCCATAAACGCACGTGTGTGTGGTTGCCATTGACCCCTACGGTACTGAGAACGGCCGGGGTGCTAAAGATATCCCGTAACCATTCAGGTATTGATTCAAGTAAGTTTGATATCCATAAAACAAATAGAAACTCATACCCAAGCTTCCCACGAAGACCGTCAAAAGAATACGTAACTCAAAGGAGTGTCCCCAGTGTCCGAGTTGTGTTGCCCCTATCAAGCCCCTGGATTGGATCCACTTTTCTTGAGATTCATGTCTGGGCCCCTTCTTCCACCTCCCTCCCTCCCTTCCGCTCCATTGCTTTCCAGCTTGCGTCCTGTTGCCTTTTACGCTTTTCTGAAGAGGCCAGTGCACGATCCTCGCTCAAAGTCGACTGGCAAGCCGGTTCTCGCCCGGTGCGTGATAATCCGGCACCTTCATCTCCAGAGCCTCACCAGAGTATCCGAGATCCTCTGCCACGAGAGCCGCCGCTTTCTCTCCAATTGTAAGGGCCACTGTGAAGGTATTCGCTCCCACGTTGTCTGGTGCGATGGAAAGGTCTGCTACTTTGAGGCCCTTGACACCGTGGACGTTGAGGCGTTCATCGAGGACGCCATGCTTCACGATGCTGTTCCCCTCCCTGGGAGCCATGGAGCACGTGCCCAGGCAGTGCCAGGTGGTCTCCACGTGGCGCTTGACCCATTCTTCGATGGCTTGGATGTCCTTTTTGGTATACTTGAGCTCCCTTCTCTTGTCCTTGCGGTTGCTGGAGACGATGCGTTTGATGTTCTCCGGTGTGAGCTTGTCTTCGGGCTCTGGGAGCGGGACGCTCCAGCTGCCGTGTTGGATACCGGCAGTGATGTTGCCAGGAAGCGCGTAAGCGTTTGTGTCTGGTCATCGGGTGTCAGTTTCTTGCCTGGGATGGTTCAAGGTTTTGGACTCACCGGCCAAGTTGAGGTCATGAGCGCGAGCTTCCGAGTCGTAGTCAAAGACGGGATGCATACTCTGGCACTCGCCTGCGTAGGCATCCATACGTCTGGCGGTCTCGCGAGACTTAATGTAGCCCCAGACCATAGGTACTATTCCATGGCGGTTATGTTAGCATATCCGTCTTCAGATGGAGCTGGAGATTCGGACTTGCCCATATCGCGAGGGTCATTCATGAATCCGGCATCAAAGTCTGGGACGGCGTACGGATCGGGAGACGTGATGTGAGTCTTTCCACGACTGAAGGGATACTCAAGGAAGTGGAACCTAAAAGGTATGCATGTTAGACTGGACTCATGAGGCTGTGTGATTCCGAGAGTGAAATGGTCACCGACATTGTGAAATAATTCCCAGGAGGCACCAGCATGTGGTCGCCAAACCAGCCAGCGATGACCGAATAGTGCATGACGGGCTTGTCGGGTTTGTTCTTGAAGTACGACTCCCAGCCCTCCTTGAAGTTCGGTGTTGGCCACGACTCAAACTCCTTCAATTCCTCAAGCGTGGGCCTGATCTTCACCCCTGCCTCGATGCCATTGGTTGCCAAGGGGCCGGTTCCCTTGAGGTTCCATTCCTCAAAGACACCTGGATTTTATGTCAGCCGGGTCATCACTGAGCATCGACGTCTCGGGAACAAGCGTACGCTTCTGAGTAGCAGGATCACCACGGGCAAAATCATCAAAACTCTCCACTCCGGGTTTGGCTCGATAGAGACTAAAGGTCAAGTAATGATCTTGGAAATTAAGACCAACGCCAGGAAGATCGACAATCGGCTTGACGCCGGCGGCGCGGAGCTTGGCAGGGTCGCCAATACCGGAGCGCTGGAGGATCAAGGGTGAACTCATGGTTCCGCCTGACACCACGATCTGCTTACGCGCCTTGAAGATACGAGTGCCTGGGCTCTGCTCGGGGGGTTAGCTTCGGAACTGGTCGATGACCGCTTGAAGTACTCACGTTGCCCAACGGCTTGGTCGGAACAGTCTGAACTGCCACAGCCCTCCCGTTCTCGATGATGACCTTGTCAACCTTGGTATTGCAAGCAAGGTACAGGTTCGAGTGGACCGCACGGGTGGCGTGGATGTAGGCGTGGGCGGCATCACTTCGACGGCCAGTCTGCAAGGATCCCCATGTCAATCATAAACAGTTGGGACCACGACGCTGACAGCAGACTTACATCACGATTGATCCACTTGAGCCACTGTTCAGCGCCATGACCAGTCTTCAGGTCTTGAAGATCATCAACGATTGGGATACCTTGAGACTCCGCAGCGCGAAGAAAGTCGTCCTTGATCGGATACTGGTAGTTTCCAAAAGAGACCTTGATTGGTCCCTCAAAGCCGTGTGTCTCACGATTGTGGGAGGCGCGCTGGTAGGTCTCGAACTTCTTCATGAAAGGGAGGAGTTCCTCGGCTGACCACCCTTTGGCTTGGAAGTCATCATAGTCGGAGGCAGATGCTCTCGTGTACATCTAAGGTAGGTACACAGCGTCAGCGAAGCACTCCCATCATGGAGTTGGATAGACTATCTTACCATAAAGTTGATAGAGCTGCCACCTCCAAGTATATTTGCTGCCGGAACGATGGCACCTCTACCAGAGAGTGATGGTGAAGGGTTAGACTCATAGAAAGTAGCCGTTTTGGAGTCCAACTTCATGTTCCGCGGGAAGATTCCTGGCCTGAACACCCAGGGATTGTTGAGGTTGTTTTCCCCTGCCTCGATCAGCAACACCTTGAGATTGTGGTCGAGATTCGCCAATCTAGACAACAGTATTAGTTATCGGCAGACAGTGTAAACTAAAAGTAAAGGGAGCGGGAGCATCTCAGAAAACGAAACGATAATGTAGAGACATATACCACCCGGCCTACTCTGTGGGTAGGATGTTCTTTTGGTTCCACAGAAGAGACAGAATCAAAAGAAGAAATAAAGAGGGGAAAAAAAAAGAAAACGGCAAAAAGAAGCACGAGAAAGAAGAGGACTTGCCTTCCCGCCACAACACATCCCGTCGAGCCCCCTCCACACACAATAATGTCAAACTCCTCAGGTAGAGGCGACATGTTGGCGTTTCCAGTATCCAGTCGAGGATGATCTTGGTCCCAGTCCCGGAAGACTGCTCGACGAACTCTTCATGAAAAGCACAAACTGGAGGGAAAACCACCGTCTCTTTATGTTCCCGTGAAGCAGAGCTAGTGCTTTGGTACCTGCCGAACGACCCCCGCCTTCTATGACCCCTTTTGGCAATCAAGGCGCCCGGGGATTGCATTTTCCCCTCTCCTCAATACCTGGCTGACACGCCCAAATCTCCCATCCTGCAACTACAAGTGGTCAATGCCTCAGGACCGAGGGTACATCGTCCTGCATGATCCTTGCTCCAGGCCGAGTCCTGCTGATACTAAAGTTGCTTGGATGCATATTTGGATTTGGGAACCCCTCACCCAGGTGGCGATGATAATCAGACGATAGGCGAGATACTTGGCAAACGCACAGAAAGAAGGTCAATGGGTGCTAAAAGATAGCTGAAGAGCATTAAAGATAGTCCATATGCCTTTGAAGATACTTCGCACACCTGAACTATTTCCTCGAGGTCTTTGAAGATGGTCAAGAGGCGTAGTTACTATCTTTTAACGCCCTGATTTTATGTTTCCCTCTTGATTATTTTGTTTATGACGAGAGTTCAGGTGCTTTTGCAGGATGAGAGAGGGTTGAAGTCCAAGACGATGCTGCATGTTGGAGACGATCGGTGAAATGTGATTGGAGCCCGCGCCTTTCAAGTTGCATAGTCAAGTTGCTATCTTGGACGGGTGATAAAGCCTGGAAGACAGGCTGTACAGCCATCTCGCACTCAGAGTTTCCGAACGTGTATTCGTACTACGGTAGGCATGCCTTTCACTCAACCAGCAGCTGTGGTCGGCCACCCAGGAGACCAGAACTCGCCTAATTTGGTGGTTTTGACTGCATCAAGGGCATCCCACCTGCAGATAAATCATAACAGGACGTTATCAGAAGCTGTGAAACGTGTCGGGACACACAACTGGACACCGGGATCTCCTACCAGTTCGAGATGTCATGGGATGGCCGACGAGCCCTGCATCGTCCGTCTCTTGACAGGTCATCTTTATCCGATCTATTGCACACGGTTTGTAATTGACTGGAATCGGACACGACGCTGGTTCAGTCATCAAACCTGGCCCTGTCTGTTCACCGTTCAAGACGTTGATCAAGGTGACGTTGACCTTCTCCACATTCCCCGGACTTTAGCGCCAACTTGACCTACATTAGCGTAATCCTTAGCTCCAGACGCCACTTGATCACTGCTCCACACTGGGTTGGGGTTCCTTGAAACGGGGTGGCGTCAGGACCGCCCTGAGCTTGAAGGGGACGTGGAGCGGGCAAGCAATTAGGATGCTGCATCTAAATATCCCCGTTGTTCCACAGCATGCACGCTGGGGACTGAAAAGTGGGCACCGCAGTTGGCAAACCAGCGCCTTCAGAGACTGTCAATGACCGGTTAAAGACAACCAAATAACTATGTAATGCCTTGAAAAGCGTATGCCAATCGATTTTCTTACAATAACCTTCAGACGATATGCTGTCTGGTGCTTGCGGGGGGACTTCAATGAAAGCATCTGGGCGGGGTAAACTCGACGAACCATCAACGAGGCGTGATAATCAGCGAGTTGATCCAAGAATAGGTACCTAATACATCTCATGCTACAGACGTACTTAGGTACCGTTGCCCAGCCATCAAGGGAAGGTCACATGCCAACGTTTGACTACAGTCCGTCTTATATCCACAGAGCCAAGCTCAGGTAGCCAGCAAAGAGCTCTGCTGGATTGGAGGAACAGTCCAGGCGTTCGTATCGATGATGATAGCTTTGTCACCTGGCACTTCGACAGGATGCAAAGCCACTGGACACCGCCCATGCTGTGCATGAAGGAGGGGTAGATGAACGGCTTGGCCTGCCGAAATCATCATCATTTACCCTCACATGGTCTTGAACCCGAGAACCGGCAAATGATGGACAACCTCGTCAAAATTTCCAGACACCTACACAGCAGTCACTGGCTGTCCAAGTCTGGTATTGACTGCAGCTTCCCCTCACACTCCTCTGTCTCTTTCCACCAATCCACACGAGATGGTGCCCGCAAATGTCAACCAAAACCCATTGACGAATCAGACCTTCCGATTCATCCACACACTACTTAAAACCGAGAAATCTCCGTCAAGACAGCTAGCTTTTGATACTACCATGGAGTGTGTCTCCAAAATCAATAGTCTCGCAGGTCTTGCTCAAAGCAGAAGGCCTCTTATTACACAGCTGAGACCACCCTCTTGAATTTAGCCATGTCTGGTTCTCATTGAATCCTTCAACTGGCCCCAAACTACACATGATAAGCGTACAGAACCGGCTTATGCTTCGAACGGACACAAACAGTGGATAGAAGAACCGCAAGCGAAAATGCACATCACGGCGCGAACTAATCTCGAGAAAAGAAGGTGAGAAATTGGTCCCGTAGCCAAGCAGCCACCAGCCGGAGCGAGGAAAAGGATGTGGGCTTGGAAAAAGCCTGGGCCAGAGAGTGAGCCCACACAACACACACTTCCAAGCTCACAGACTGACTGAGGCTCCCACGGACTACCTATCTTGGCATGCTAAAGTAAGGTATTTGCTGCTCTGTTACACGTCATGTTCTGACTTCACATTCCCCGCTCTTAACGACTTTCGATCTGTTCTCCAAGAAGCCTTGTAGAAGAGGATTGGCATTGATTGAAGCAGAAGGGAAGAGAACAAGTCTGCTGAATGTATTCGAGACTTGCTCAGCAACCTACCTATATACACGAGTGAAGCCATCTTGTATCGTAATGGTTGACCCTATCTCATCCCTCTCGTATCCTTTACCTAAGCCGCACTCGGCCCATGGTCCAAATCAGTCATTGAGCAGATGTTGGGCCTGGAGAGGGAGTCCAATAGCAAAATTCTGCTGCCACCGACGTCGCTGACCTAATTTTTGTGACCGATGGTTCTGACAATCAACATGGACTCGTTGTTCACAAGAGGTATTTCGGTCTGGGACAAGCTTCATGTAACATGCCAGATGGTTGAGGGTGTATTTGGCAGGGGAGGCTCTAATGTAGATAGCACGGCTGGTTTTTATCGGAGCGGAGCTCCATCGAGTAACCTGGTCTGGAATCTCTTGATGTAAGGTGTGGTTGGAACTTCGCTCTACTTACCTAGGTACCGTACTGTAACTGAAATCCTCCAAACGTGGTATTCCTAGGGACCAAAACCTCTCTGTGGGTTAGCGTTCAAAGTCTTTGTCCATACGTATTCCTCCCTTTCTACAAGGCGACGGATATATAGGTAAAGGGCGAGTGAGGAGCGAAGGACTGTGGGTACCAGCGGCACCCACAGTTAAAGGTCTTTTTCACGCTTGGCTTCTCCACAGGTCATATGGTTGTCCTCCTCGACGAAGGGTATACTTAGCATGCCAAGATAGGTAAGTCCGTGAGAGCCTCAGTCAGTCTATGAGCTTGGAAGTGTGTATTGTGTGGGCTCACTCTCTGGCCCAGGCTTCTTCCAAGCCCACATCCTTTTCCTCGCTCCGGCTGGTGGTTGTTTAGCCATTAGTTTATGGACCAGGTATAGAAACTACAAGTTAAGTACTTATAAACTTAGGAGAAAAATACTAGTATAATAAAAGAAAGTTATAATGTGACGAACCCCTGTACAGAACCTCTGAAAGGGATACTGGTTGAAGGTAACTTCTGACAATTGGTTCGGTGCAGCTAAACAGTGCACAACAAGATGTCTCGATGTAAACACAAGATGCCGTGAATACAAGCTTGAATTGCATACTGCGGAACTGTCTATCTACACCGGCCAGTTCCTCCGTATATATAGACCTCAATCCTCTAGGTACCTCCGTACCTGGATCACCTCGATCACCAAGCGCTCCTGGTGATCCATCCTGGCTCACCTCGCTCACCCAGCGCTCCTGGCGAGCCGGCTCACCTCTGCCAAGAGGTGAGCGCCCCACTATCCTGCAGCCCCGCTGTTATCTGTTACTTGACTGGTCACCACGGCCTGCTGCAGTCCCCACTCTGCCTTGCTATATGGTTGGTCTGTGACATATAAGCTATATAATTTACACATTATATATTTAATAGTATTTTAAATATATATTAGTTATATTTAAATATATATTAGTTATAATTAAATATATATTAGTTATATTTAAATATATATTAGTTATATTTAAATATATATTATTTATTTTTAAGTGTATATTAATTATCTTTGAACGTACAATCAATATTTCTAAACACTTAATAACAGTTTTTTAAAGCCTATTAACTATCTTTAAACGTCTATTAACTTTTTTTTTATATTTATAAATTAAAAGTTAATACCTATTATATTTATTACTCAACGTTGGAGTTGGCAATAAAAGTGTATAAAAAGATGATAAAATTAAGAGGGTCCTGGAGAACAAGCATCTTACTTCAAGAAGTGCAGGACCTACACCCTGAGTAGGGCGGGTAAATGGCAGGACCCGGTCATGTGACTTGGCTTGTGCTTGCTCTTAGAACTGAAGCTAGAGCCTTATCTAATCTAACAACTTTATCAAATTAATGAACCTTCTGTTTGGGTATCAATATTCCTTCGACTGTCTTGTATATCCTTTTTTCCTTATACTTTTCTGCCCGTTTTTAGTAATAAAAAATATATTAAAGCGAGGTAAATAAGTATAAGTAAGGAATAAATATGTAAAATACTTTTCAATATTTTTTATAGAAAACTTTATTCTGCTAATACTTAGTTTTATACTATTTAAAGTTAAGACCGGAAAGCTCGGTCGACCACTATATATTATGAGGTTATTAGTCCCGTTGTTAAATCGATAAGCTAGCCAAGTAAAAGTTCGACGTCCTAAATATTCTAAGGTATTTACAGGTGGTTCAGAAGATAGCCTGAACCAGACTTAAATTAGGTACTCAATAAGCAGTATCTCATCGCTAAAGCGCCGATCCCAGTACGCAACAACAAGGCATCACGCAAATCAAACAAGTCAAATTTGAGGGCCTATTTGGTTTCATTTGATTTGAATTGAGTAAGTGTGCCAAATACTGAGAAATGCTATTACCACCTAGGTATTTGATAGAGTTCACAAGACATCTACATATTCTGTCCCGTCACCCAGATTCCTGACTTTCCCGGCGAAAGTACTCCGTTTGGATCAAACGTATCCTTGAGTGTCTGGACAAACTTCCCAAAAGCGAAGTCATTGAAATCGAGCTTCGAGGCGACTGTGTCCATATACCCCACGTGAGTTCTATACTCCATGAACCTCTGCTCTCCCGCGTCGTGCAGCAACTGTTTGTACAGCTCATGCAGCCTCTGCTCCTCACCCATCGTGTAAATTACCAGATCAATAGCAATGACATATCGAGGGTAGACATGAAAGTCGGCAAAGAAGTCAAACTTGGCGTCCGCGGTCCTCTTCTTGGCCGCGAGGTACCAATCGTACAGCTCCCTGCCCGAAGGCGGTATCACCGGGCTGAAACAGATATGCCCACCGCCCCGTTCACCTCTCGAGTCAACAATCCCCAAAGGTTCCACCGTTGGGATACCGCTGTGAGGAACCACCTCGGTCTTGATATCCTCCGCGGCCGAGATGGCAGCACCAGGCAATCCGGCCCATTCGCGATATTTGAACTGCACACCGGGGACGGCTTGTCTGAAGGCACGCTCTACTGTTGCTTTGAGCGCGGAAAGCATTTCCACTGAGCCGTAGAGCGAGAAATACGCCCGCCAGAAACCCCACCTCTCCTCAACCCGAATCCTCTCGAGGAGGTCGTAGGGCACATACGAGTCTGCCTTCATGTAGGGACCAATCTGACTGAGGACTTCGGGCTTCTCAGAGGTGAGGGCGATGCGGAAGATGTTGGCTATGGAGGGACTGTTGAGAATAATGGAGCGGCGCATGAGATCAGAGAGGGTGCCGACCAAGGGGATGAGGTCTGACTCGAGCGGTACATCGACTTCGACAGTGGCGTAGGCTTCGGGGGCAGGGGTGATGTGGATTCCAATCTTGGTGACAATTCCGAGGTTTGACTGATAGAACAAGCCGTCCAGACTGGGGCCGAAGCCGCTGTGAGGAGTCGTGTCAGTATCGTTGATGGCGAAGAGGACAGCGAGGCAATGTTAAGACTTACCCTTTGTACAGCGCCCACGTGGCGTTATCGGACATCGCTCCAGAGCCAGTGCGAATGAGAGTCCCATCTGGCAACACAACCTCCATGCCGCACTGAGACTGTGAATGCTCGCCATTGGGCGTGTAGCCAAATCCTCGGTCGAGGGTGTTGCCCACGACGGAGCCCCAGCCGATCGCAGGAACCGAAGGCCAAAGCTTCAGTCCCCTCCTCTGGATCTCTTCATAGAGGTCGAAAAATGATACTCCAGGCTCCACGATGGCATAGCCATACTCCTCATTGATTTCGATAATCTGGGTCATGCGATGCAGGTCCAGCACCACGGTCCCTTTGACGACGGGTCCAGTACCACCGTAGCCAAGGTTCTTGCCTCTTGATACTGTCCAAAGATAGACCTGGTGCTTGTTAGCGAGCTTGACAATTTCCTGAACTTCCTGGACGGTTTCGGGTCGCACAGCACCCGCTGGAAGATTTGTGTCGGCTTTTGAGAATGCATCGCCGTATGTGGTTTGCCCCAGAGCTCCTGTTCTTCTTGTCAGTATGGAAGATGTCGTCTCGCTAGGGAAGTTGCCACACCTGTCAAGGCACCACTTGAGTGATCTCGTGAGACATTGTCCTCACCGATAAGAAGGGCAACTTCATCAAAAAAGGCTTTCAGCGTGGCAGGCGTCAAAGAAATTGTTGGCGGCATGACGGCGGTGGAGGGGAAAATGAGTAAGACAGATTCCGGAACGACATGATGAGCGAAGATTTCCGCGGTATCGCGACCATTTCTTTTGTACTTGATATTTGGCTCGTCTGCATAACCACAGCACAGTTTTGTTGGTCTGAGGTGTGTTTGATCGGGGAACATCCGGGCAAGCTCCACCCATTTTGAGCCCCAGATTCCAGGGAAACCCACTTTCCAGGTTGCCAAGATCTGCTAGCACCCCCCCCCGACACATCCGAATGCATAAAATCCGGGGAAGAACCGGGAACGGGGAGCAAGCCTCCATGTCTCCCCGGATCGGGGTAACGTCCAAGACGGGAAAGTATTTAGATCTCCTACGATGACCTCTTCCACCTCGCCTCAGACAACCGTAGTCATGGCAGCACAAGCACCAACTCACTTTCCCGATCGCCCTCAGTTCTCTGGGTTTATGAAGCCATGCCGCCTTGAAGGCGAGGTTTCACACCTGGAGGTCCATGGGGCAATTCCAGATGACATTGACGGTACGTTTTACCGTGTCATGCCAGATCCCCAGCTGCCTCCTTTCATCCAAGATGACCCAGTAAGTGCTCCATATTTTGCCCGAGGTCAAGAAGCTCATCATCCGCCATAGTGGTTCAACGGAGATGGCTCCATCAGCGCTTTCCGGATCAAAGACGGCAAAGTCTCTTTCAAGCAAAAATATGTCCAGACTGAGAAGCTGAAACGAGAACGCGAGGCCAAGCGGGCCCTGTTGGGAAAGTACCGCAACAAGTACACCGATGCGGTAGAGTTCAAAGTCCGCACCACAGCCAACACCAACATCATCCACTTCAACGGCAAGCTGCTCGCCCTCAAGGAAGACGCCCCGCCGTACGCATTGGACCCAGAAACCCTCGAGACCTTGGGCCTGCACACTTTTGATGGGCAGCTTCCCAGTTTGACGTTCACAGCCCATCCCAAGTTCGACCCCAAGACGGGCGAGATGATTTGCTTTGGGTATGAGGCCAAAGGAGATGGGACGCCTGATGTGTGCTATTACCGAGTAGCTCCTGATGGCAAGTTCCTCGAGGTGGTGTGGCTCGTTGCGCCAGTTGTGGGAATGATTCACGACTTTGCTGTGACTGAAAACTTTGTGCTCTTCCCCATCATGCCGCAGGTTTGTGATCTCGAGAGGCTGAAGCAGGGTGGCGAGCACTGGCAGTGGAGCCCCGAGACACCGTTTTATGTCGGCGTTTTGCCTCGAACAGGCGCGAAGCCGGAAGATGTTAAGGTGAGCGACTCTGGCAAACTTCTTCTCCAAAGTTATGGGACGTCGCTAATATCCATGTCAGTGGTATCAATACCGCAACTCATTCCCCGGCCACGTTAGCAACGCCTTCGAGGACTCATCGGGCAATCTCGTCATGGACATTGCGCTCAGTGACAAGAACGTCTTCTTTTGGTGGCCGGATGCCCAGGGGAATGCCCCGGAGCCAAGTTCAATTGTCTCCCAGTTGAAGCGTTTTGTGATTGATCCAAAGTCTTCAAACCTCCATCTTGCCGACCCAGAGGTGCTTCAAGAGGACAACTCGGAGTTTTACCGAATCGACGACCGATTTGCCACTCAACCATACAGGCACTGCTTCTACGACATGTTGAATCCGGCGTTGGGGACCGACTTCCCAGGGATTGCCCACCAGCTCGGTGGGGGATACCCTCTGTATAACTCGCTGGGACATCTTGACCTCCAAACTCGTAAGGTGGAAGTGTATTTCCCTGGACGAACGCACATGGTTCAGGAGCCAGTATTCATTCCCCGTCGGGGATCTGGTGAGGAAGGAGATGGGTATTTGCTTGCGCTTGTAAACAACTACGCCACGATGTCGAGTGAGCTACACTTGCTTGACACGAAGAACTTTACCAAAGCGCAAGCTGTCATCTTGTTGCCCGTGCGGTTGAGGCAAGGGTTGCATGGGAACTGGGTAGACAATGATAAACCATGATGTGGAAACATGATGCTTTTTAGCCTATAAAATGCCTAGGTAGTAAAATAGATTCGCGAATCCTCTATAGAATGTTCTGGATACAAAGATTGATACTCAAAAATAAGTTAAGACATAACTGCTTCTATAACTGCATGTGAATCAAGATAATGCTAATATGCCGCGGATAAGGTAAAAGATATTCAACACGCATCAAAGAATAGTCAACAGACCTCAAGTGATAAACTATCAGGCCTCATAATATAATCAACAAGTCTTGAAAAAGCAGTTAAGAGGCTGTAAAAAGCAACCACCAGGGCGTAAAAGCAGTCACTAGGCCCTGAAAGATAGTCAGGATGCCTTGTGAAGTCATCAGATCTCATTAAGAGGCCTTGCAACATATTAAAAAGCATCCTGAGCTATGTTATATGCTCATTTGTACCAGCTACTCTGTCTGAGATGTGCTGGGCTGGATGGAGGTGCAGTGTGGCTCGGAAAACATTACCCCTGAATGCCCCACTTTTACCCCTGACCTCGAGATCCAGAAGGCAGCAAGACTGCCACATCGACGCATGTCTAGAGCATGGGCTTGCTCGAGTTGGGACATTGATCTTTCGAAGTTATCTTAGATAGGTCTGTTAGAGAAACAACGACTAGAGATCATGGTTGGAGAGAAAACCAGTGGAGCAGGGATGCCTTCTGTTGAGCCGATGGAGCTTGCAGTCAAAGTACCCCGCAACATCAAACCCCACGGGGAAAGCTTGTTTACATCTCCTCTTTCTCATTACTCATTTTGATCCTGTCCTTCTGATTGGATCAAGAACCTTTCCTCACCTCGTCGCCCACAGCATCATGGCCAACAATGGCCTCACGCAGCCACCGTGGTTCACTACCCCAGTCAGTAATCTCAATGTCACGGATGAAGCAGAACAGTCAGCCCAGCCCAAAACACGAAAACGCACCAGAATCTCAGTTGCCTGCAAGACATGCAGAACTCGCAAGTCTAGATGCGACGGTCGCCTTCCTTGCTCCACCTGTAGTGATGTGGGGTTGGTCTGCGAGTACGACGACCCTTCTTACAAGCCCGCTCAGGACAAAGACGTCAGCCAGCTAGAAGAGAGGCTCCGTGTATTGGAGCAACAGCTTGCTGCACTGCAGGAGAAGGGCAGACAGAACGAAACATTTCAGGCGACATCACCCTCCGCGAGTAGGCTGGACGATCGAAGTCTTCAATGCGATGCGAGCACACCGGGGACGAGTCTTATTGAAGATGAGGGTGACGTTGTGGACGGAATGGGGGCTGTGTCACTTCGGGAAGATTCAGCGGAACAGGAGTACATTGGTAAGAATAACCATAAAAGGTCCTGTTCTCGGCCATGGTGATTGAGCATTTCCTACCAGGACCGTCTTCAAATGTTGCGTTTCTCCGCTTCATCATGCGTGCGCTAGGAGGGGCCACCAGCTTTCGGGACAGTTCCTCGGGCCACCAAGCTAGGCGAACCCGTTCAGGCACATTTGTATCAAGTCGGCCGATCATGAGAGGAAATAACACTTTGCAGAAGAGGGCTGTGGATGTCTATGTCCTCCCAGCTCTGGAACAGTCTGAGCATCTCCTACATCTCTACTTCAACACCGTCAATCTAATGCTGCCGTGTATTCACGAAGACAGATTTCGTTCGATGTGGTTCATTGCCAAATCAGAGAGCCCAGAAAAGCTGTCAAAACCCTGGCTTGGGATTATCAACATGGTTTTCGCACTAGCTTCCAATGTGGTCGGTGTCAGATCACCACCCCAAGACCGAGCTGCACTGTCAGACATGTGCTTTCAGCGAGCACTAGAGTTGGTAAAACCATACATGCTGGGTAATCCCTCTCTGGAATTAGGTACGGTTTCTTTCGCCCGTATCTTCAACGCGGCGAGCCTACTTACACACGTTTTGCGTAGTCCAATTGTTTCTGTTGATGGTGATCTATCTCGAAGGCACCAGTTACTCCTCTCTTGCATGGACATTCCACAGCCTGTCCGTCAAGGGCTCGTATCAACTGGGACTCCACGTCACAGGATGTCACAGTCTTTCTCCGTTGGACGCTGAGATTCGAAGAAGGCAATGGTATTGGTGTGTCATGAATGACCGGTACGTGGCTCAGGCAATGTAAGTCTTTTTTTGTCAGTGAGCTAACATCGTGGCAGTTGGCTGAGCGTTACATATGGCCGGCCGCCGCTCATACCACTGGCGCATGTCAATCCCAAACCGGGAGCCCGAATTGCATTCAGCAACGTCTCCAGCAGTGTGACAAGATCAAGTATAGCATATATTGACTCTTTAATGCGAGACCTTTCCTTCCTTCAGCTTTAGTACTTGTCTGTTAACATTAGAGCCAGGTCAGTAACACATCTGATGGGTGACATCCTTGAGCGCCTTTACGACAATAATCTTGGCTCAAACCCGAATCCAGAACCAAGCCAAATTCTTGAGCAAACGACAAAAGTTTGCTTTGGATTGGCTCAATGGCAAGATACGCTCCCTTCCAACCTCAAGATAATGACCTGTCACGATACAATCGACGCTGTTGCTCCACTGATGTTGGAGAGCACGCGTCTCAGGGTTCTTCTCTCTCTCCGTTACCTCGGGATACGTATACTAGCGATGAGACCCGTCATCAACCTGTTCCTTGATACAACAGGCTCGGAGTCATCTTCACACGAGCACACTTCCCGGTGGCTTCACAGCTGTGGAGCAACAATTCTTTCTGATCTGGTCAAGACAGCAGGAGATGTGCTCCACATCAGCAAAGAGCTCCTCAAGGCATCCGAAACCACGAATCAGAATCTCCTCGGGGCCTGGTGGTTCTCTTGCTATTACAGTATGTCTGGCCGGTCCGTTGCTTCTACCTTTGGCGTTATACTGACGTGCCTTTCAGCCTTCAACGCCTCTTTGGCTCTCTTGGGTGTTATCTCCATCAAGAGGATGCCATTACCGAACAGCACCATCCTCTCAGCAATATCCACTGCAGAGTTGAGAAAGATGATGGATACCGCACTCGAGACATTGCACGGCTTAGACGGAGGAAATGAGACTATCGCTCGTTGCCGAGATGCGCTTTCCCAGATGCTGAAAGCGGTTGATAGCACGGGGCAATCTGGGACTTCTGACTTGGTAAACCTTTCGCCATCGGGTGCCTGGGTGGCGCAGCTGATGGATTCGGGCCTTTTCAGCTCAGAGCTGACGATGGGGGTTGGACCTGATATGTTTGGGGCTGGGTTTGATGATGCTGGAACTTTCTTTCATGAGAGGTGAAGCCCTACAGCACTGGCCGCCTATCTAACTAATAGAATACTGTGTGAAAAGAAGATGCACCTCTTTATCTCCTGAAAGGCCCGAAGAGATGGCCAGTACGTTCTAAAAATAGTCAATGGGCCTTGAAAGATAGTTAACTGGCATTACAAGATAATGATCATTGCCTTAAAAGATAGCCCACAGGCCACGAAACATAATTAATACGCTTTAAAAAAATAGTCAATAGATACGAAAACATAATATGACCTTGACAAGTTGCTCAATGTCCTTTCACTAGACAAATTCCCAGGCCTTAAAGAACACCTCACATACTAGGCCTTAACATACACCTTGGTCAACACGTCTTACAAGATAGCCCAATTCCTTCTAACGGAGAGTTCTTGGGGAGATCGAAGGGAGTAAATATACGGGGATGAATTGCCATCAAACCTGCGAAAGTTACGCTTGATAACGAGTAGGAGAACCCTATTGGTGTATGTGATAGAATGCAATTTAATGATGAGGAATGTTAGATGGACGAGATTGGGAAGATTGCAAAACATGTTTTTTCTTCGATGTTTCCCACTTTCAGGACCTTTTCCTTTCGCCCCTCTGGCTTCTCCTCGACGTCGTCCTTCTTTTCCTTGGGGAGTCCTTCTGGTGCGTTTCTTGTGGGGAAATGGGCGTTAGGTAAGCTGAGTGAGCAGAGCGTTTATAATCTTCTTAATAACCTGTAAGGCTTATTGACTAGGTATCTTATCCTTGAATATCTTCCGGCCATCGTTTAGGGTACACGTACTGCGGTTTTGTTCTATTATTTTTGTTGTCCAAGGACAACAATAGTGCAATTTGGGTGCCGTACTTTGTGCACTGGAATTTCACGATATTACCGCAACGGGGTTCTCTTTCAGCTTCCAAGGTCTTTTCCAGGGCAGTCGAGAAGATAATGGACTCGAGTCGCAGAGCACAAGCATCCAGTCACCAAGCGCTGGATGAAACAACTGGGAATGCAAGCCAAGAAAACGTGTAAGGCTGGCCTGTTTATTTTATTTGGTGGTAAGTAGCCCTCTTAGGTAGCTGGCTAACATAGGTAGGTCTATTTCAAAGATAATAGGGCTACAAGTGCCTTCAAAGAGTTTCGATCCTCTTTTTACGTAGGTGTAACCAGCATTTTATCCCGCGCTAACTTCTTCTACTTAGGGTGCCATTTATTCTGTCCACAACATGCCTACCTATCATTAAGGCCTCCAATCCCTCCTCCCCCTCTCAAAGTCCTCCAACCTCTTCACAAACCCCTTCGCCATCTCGGTCCTCTCACTATCCGCCCCGGCATACTGCTTCAGCCATACAACACCCTTCTTCCCGTACTCCTTTGCCCTCTCAATTTCCCCCCTTTGAGCATAGACATTCCCGATAATATTGTACAAGTCGCCCATTTGCCCTTCCATCCCTTCCTCTCTTACCAGTTGTTCGATCTCGGCGATCTTTTCCTCTGTCAGTCTGGACGGGGTGTCGAACTCTTCCAGTAGCGCCTGGATCCGGTTACGTTGCTTGTCCGACTTTTTGATGGCGGTGGGGTTCTGGCAGAGGGCACAGGTGCAGGTGAAGCCCCACCATTTGAGAAGTTCGGAGCGGTCGGCCGAGAGGATGTTTAGGGGGGCGTCTGGCTGCTGTTAGTACAGGCGGTGGTTGGGAAGGGGGTATGAGTGGTGGGCAGACAAGAGATGGAAAGCTCCTCGCCAGGAGAAATGTCCTTGTAGGCTACGATCTCCATGATCAGGGTGGAAGGAGAGAAACGTGTGAAGCAGCTGGTCAGGTTAGTCATCCATCTTTTCGAGAGCCCACTAGACAACACTCACTTCGGCTTGCAAGCATGATTAATCCTCTGCCACCCACATTGTCAGCACAACCACCCCATCCTCACCCGTCACAAAAAGAGGAAACCGACCGCAATCTCAGGATACAACCCGGAATGACTCCCCCACCCCATCTGCCCCGTCGAACCCTCCAACACCCCCACCGTCACATCGAACGTGTTCGTCTTCATGATGTCATCAACGATATACCCCTTTCCCTGCGCCGCCAGCCCCATCACCTCCCTTTGCTGCTCCTTGGGAAGTTGATTCCCCGCCCTCTGCAAAAGTCTTAACACGTCCCTCGTCTCCCACTTGTCATTTTGCTCAGCGCTCTCCAACAACTGCAGCATAACCGGCAGCTGCGCCATCAAGACTGTCCCTTTTTTGATGGGCTCCGTGGCAAGAACACCATAGCCTCTGTTGGGTAGCTTCTCCACTTTGAAAGGGTTCTTGGGGTAGTGGGTAGGCCTGAAGGGGACACCACCCCGGTCGTTCTCCAGCCAGGAGAGATATGGCGAATGAATGAACGAGGCGACATCAGCGGCCGTTTCTGGGGTGGTGATGATACTCAGGGGGGTGCCGGCCCATGTGTTGAGGGTGGTGAAGGTGCATAGTTTCGATAGCTTGACTCTGGGGCGTTTGCCCTTTTGTTTTGTGGGGTCGAAACAGGTTGGGGGAATGGACCAGGGGTACCAGCTGTTGGTCAGGATGGCCGTCTCGTCATCAACAAGCCGTGGGCAAGACCGTTTGTGGGTGAGAGGGCTGAGGTGGCTGTTGTTTGGGCATGAGCTGGCTGTTGGTGGAATGGGATCTGAGGCTGCCAGGGCTCTTTGACTGCCGAGGAGGACGGCAAGGGCAGATATGAGTGGGAACATGTTGTAAGATGTGGCCGGCGACTGAGATAAAGCCAGCGGCGCCTTCTTGATGACGTGAAAGTCTGAAGAGACATGATAAGTAACCTCCAAGTATGAAGAACTACCGTGTCGTGTCTTGATCATGTCCTTGCCGTTGCCAAGGGTACTGCATTTTGGCAGTGCCGGCATTGTTTGGTACGGCTCAGGGGCACATTAGCCGGACCTCTTGGATTGTCTTATCGCCGACGATCTTCCCAATCCTCACGCCCAGAACCCCAAACAGCCTCGATAAAGCAACGTCGTTACATTCGTACACTTCCAAGACGGTAATACAACTAGAAAAAAGTGCTAAAGAATATGTACAACCAAATCCTCCACGCTCGTTATTAAACCTCGGCCCATAACCATGCCTTGGCAAACCCCCTCCATTACGCGCTGGTGCTAAAGTAGTAGTTCTCCCACAGGTATTCGTAGTCTTCAATGATACCAGCCAGCAACCCTGGCATGCGGCTTCGTACGCCACCCACAACCCCCTTTGTGACGTTCTCGTAAAAGGCCCCGCGCATAGCCCACCAGCCCATCGCCCAACCGCGACGGCTCCATTCCTCGCGCTCCAGCGGCGTCGTCTGCAAGCCCCTGTCCCGCAGTTGCCTGGCCGCGAGCTCAGTTCCCACACCCAACAGCCAAGGTGTCCAGGACTTCCGCTTGTCCTTGCTGCGCGCCAGCGCGATGGCAAAGACAAGAGGTGCCAGGATGTGTAGCACCTCAGCCAACTGCGCGCTACCCTGGAGTCTGTTGAGCAGGTTTGACGCCGGCTTGATGTCATCCGCCGTGAGCACCCTTGAAAGAAGATACCCACTCGTATCCCCAGGCGCGGGAAGCGTAGGAAGAGACATGCCGGTGCGGGGCATGGTCCACTCCCCGTTGGGGCCAACGCCCTTCCTCTGGGGCGCACCAACAGACCCCTTGCCGAATGGTTTCCTATCCTCATCGTCTTCCCCGAGCGCGCGGAGCTCGGCCTCCTCCGGGTCTTCGGGTGCCTCGTCAGGTATCGGTTCTCGTTCGGGCAAGACCGGCGTCAAAAGCGGCCGCGACTTGGTTATCCGAAGTAGTAAAAGTTTGCAGAATGCTTTGATGGCCTCAAGGAGAACCACGACATTCCAGCGCACGCGCTCGCCGCGGCGCTTGGCGGACATTTCGCAAAGAAGCTGGACGTAGTTGACAATCTGCAGCACGTAGGCGACGCGCCGGTAGAAGGCGCTCTTGAGGGTCCAGAACTTTGTGTAACGGCTTTGCGGCGAGGGGGCGCGGGGGAGGGAAGAAAGGGGGAGCTTCGAGAGGGTGGCCGCTCGGGAGAGAAGGGTATCATGATACAAGGAAAGCAATTGAACACCGCTGTGAATGGACTCGGAGGCTATCTCGGCATCGCGAAAACGACCTAGATAACAGTTTACGATCAGTTTCTGCGGTCGCCAGGATGCCCGGGTTCGAAGAAACAGGGGGAGCAATTACCAGGTATGATGTACGTCAGTGATCGCAACGTCGACTCTATCTGCGACACCTGGTGGGAGTTCTTGGTGATAAAGTCATCATACATATGGAGCCATTGGGGTGGGAGCGAAAAGGCGCGCTTCACGCCGGAGCTCCCTGGCGCAGCGGCCAGGTCCTGTTTGTCGGATGGCTTGGACATCGCATTCGGCGATTACAAAAGGCGCGGCATGTGCGAAAACGAGAGCAGCGAGACTGACGAAAAACGGCGTCGGTCGCAGTCGGGATCGCTATATCAAGGGTACGGAGTATCTCGATCGAGGGCTTTCGCAAGTTTGCCAGAGTGATGGAATGTTGAGCGTTTGAATGAATTGGCTTTGGCGTTGGCGTTCAGGGCAGTGCCAGAGGAGAGTCCATGCCTCGGCTGCCGCTGCAAACTGCCCTGGGTGCTGGGTGCTGGGGCCGGCCTGTGGTGGTCCGAGCTCCTGACGCAATCTTGAATCCGGGGGATCTGCCAAGCAGCAGGGATTCAGGTACAGGGGAATATGAATTCCAACTCGTGAACGCGTCTTTCGCGTGTCTTTGTTCGTTGAGACATGAAGCGTCACGGGAACAGCATTTTCTTTACAGACATAAGCAACAGCAGAGCGACTGCTTGTTTATTTCACAATTCATAGCTGCCATTGTCTGGATGACTTCACATGCTGCTCAACCCCACCGGCCCCGCCTCTCCAAAACACCGAGAGCTCAAGCTCCTTACTGTTGCTTCTGAGCCTTGAGCTTCGCAATCCTGGCCCGGGTCCCGTCAATGATCTCTTGCTCCTTAAAGATGGAAGTCACGCTCGGGTGTACAGCGACAACTTCGGCCCATTTGGCAAAGTTGGGAGCCTTCTCGACAATCGATGGCCACAGGTTGGAGGGGTAGAGATCCGTCTTGGACAAGCTCTTGTGACGGATGACGAATGACCCAGTCAAAACCTGGAGAGCTGTTAGTGGACTTCCTCTACTCGCCAAAACGCCGAACTCACCTCAGCCTGTGTGAGCTTGTCACTGCCACCGAAATAAGGGCTGGCGTCTGCAAGCAACGGCTCAACTTCCTTCACAAGGGCGGCGACGGCCTTGTCTGCGATCTCGGCTCTCGCAGCTTCGCCCTCTGCTGTGTAGAGGGCAAACAGCTGGCTGTTGAACTTGGAGATGAAGGCGTCTACAAATAATGCAACACGTGCACGGCGCAGCGCACCCTCGGGTGTGTTGGAGGGCGGCAGGAGATGAGATGGGTAGGCGTCCGCCAGGAAGTTCGCGACAATGGCAGACTCGATGATGATCTCGCCGTTGTAAGAGAGTGCAGGGACCAGGCCTCTCGGGTTGATCTTCAAGTACTCCGGTGTGCGAGGGGTGTCAAGGTCGATGATGACTTCTTCAAAGGGAACCTTGAGCTCCTCCAAGATGATGTGAGCCCGGTGTGCCCATGGGCATCTGTGGTTGGTGTACAGGATGAGCTTGGCGTCGGTAGAACCCATTTTGTATATATTCTGTGGTTGTTGTCTTGCTGCTGGCTGCCGGTATCAGGGGCTCGTCGTCAAAGTAGGGTTTGAGAGGTGGAGACGTTGGTGATTTTGCCGATTCTTGGTTCAAGGCGCCCAAACCACTTTTTGAAGTCATTCGAATTGGCGCAAAGGTCCTGGTTGCTGACAAAAGGGAACGGATTTCGTCATATGGCGCTATCGAGAACACCATCCGGGTGACAAATGGAGCTTGCTAAGCATCACGCACTCGGTGCCGTTAGTGGCCGAAGCTCGGTGTGCAAATTCCCCCGCACCTGGGATTCAACAGCTCTTCCATGGGCGGGGTGCTCCCGTAGAACGGGCCGCTTGGACAACCCCGTTTCCTCTTCAGGTTGACGGTGTCGGAGCCGATGCCGACTGTTTCCAACACCCCACACCCCATGTCAGTCGAAGCGCGTAAGCCCCACCCGGTATTTCACTGTTTGGCCATGCAAACGGGTTCTTGACTTTACATTCGGTGTCTTAAAGCCCGGTGGGCCATACGGACTCAGTTACGAATACCTCTCGTCACAACGATTTGCCAGCCGCGGCACGCACCGCTCTTTCGGTCCCATCTCGTTCCGCTTCATAGGATTGCTCCTACCGTGATGGGTAGCTGGCCTTGGTTGAGAGATAAGCTTCCTGGGACATATCGGTCTGAGGCCTTTGTTGAAGTCAAGTATACCCCTCCAAGATACATTCTGATATCTGAGGACCTCACACCTACCACGACACCCAATATGGCCCCACTGCCCCTCGACATCTACCTGCTGTTGAAATGATGAGCTGGGAGCTTATCGGGTTGTTGCTGGCCAGCATACTTTGTGAGAAGCTTGAGGTTGACCATCCGGCTAAACACCCTCGGCTACCACGGCCCGCTCGATATTAAGAAGCTCTCGGCGTAAAGCGACGGAAGATGCTGCACCCGTTGCGTGAAGGGGGTCTCCCTGGCTGTGTTGATGCCGTGTATATGTAAATGACGAGGGCGCTGCTTTCTTGTTTGGATCCATCGGGGTATCTTGTTGAGTATCAAGGTCCTAGCTGCAACTCTGAATCATGAAGTTCAAGTCTCAAGCCGTTCTCGCGGCTGCAGTGGCAGTGAGCAATGTGGGCGTGGCTCAGGCTCATGTGTTCATCTGGGTATGGCCCCCGCCCCTTCGCACTCGACATAACCAGGAGACTAACCAATGCAGGGTGTGTTCGTCAATGGTGTGGACCAGGGGACCTTCAACGGCATTCGCACACCAGCATATAACGGTCCTCCTCCGAGGGGGTACTCCAATTCCCCAGTCAAGGACCTGAACTCCATCGACATGCGCTGCAATGTTTTGGGAGACAACCAAGTCCCTCACACTATCAAGGTGGCCCCAGGAGACAACATCACCCTCGATTGGCATCACAACAATCGCACGATTGCGGACGACGTGATTGACTTCAGTCACCATGGCCCTGCGCTTGTCTATCTCACACCTGATCCGCCAACCGAGAACTCTTTTGTCAAGATTTGGGAGAAGGGACTGTATGAGCTTGGGCCCACACCTTTCTCCCCAGGAAAGTGGGCAACGACATGGGACATCAAGGCCAACAATGGACTCATGAACTTCCGTATTCCGGCAAACTTGAAGGCTGGTTTGTGAGTCTTGGCCTCATAGCAGTGATGCAAGCCGATGCTGACTTTGGCAGCTATCTGATTCGTGCTGAGATGGTTGGTCTCCATGAGGCGGACGCTCGGTTTGACCAGAACTCGCGGCGTGGTGCTCAGTTCTATCCAAACTGCGTCCAAATCGAAGTGGTTGGTGATGGCACCGTGGAGCTCCCGGAAGGAGTCTCCTTCCCAGGAGCCTACAAATACGATGATCCAGGAGTTCATTACAACGTATGTTTCAAAGTAATTCTGAACACATGAACTCACTGACGCTCGGTTCAGATTTATTGCTCGACTGAACGCGCCCCCCTCGCCCCGTGCACCGATGCTAGCACCTATAAAATCCCAGGTCAGTCAATATCTACAGTTCCAGCTTTCACTGTCAGGTGCTGACCATTTTTTAATTAGGGCCTACCGTCTGGTCGGGTGCGTGGCCTGAGACTACTCAAGTCGCACTGGGTCCAGTCACCGGACCAACAACTGCAACACGTTGGAGCAGTTGGTGAGTACTAGTTGCACTCTTATCATGGTTTGGGATGGTTCTGATCAAGGAGATAGGATCCAACAATCCGTAGTTACGACGGCGACTTATGACCAAGCCGGCTCGCCGGTTCCCGTCGCCACATCGCGATACACGGCTTCTTGGTCACTGGCGTATGCTGCACCAACAGCGTCACCAGCTCTTTAGCGGCAATGATGGTGGCTTACTGCGTCGAAGGCGAGTCTGATAACCAGGGATAGCGAAAACCGGTTCAGGGGCAGTGAGAAGGGAACCTTGGAGCAGAACCAGACGCATGGGATGTTATTCGTTGTCCCTGCGGCATTTCTCAGACAAATTCGTTCACGAGTCGTTAGCTTCAGAGCCAATCGGTCTCCAGTGTGCAAATTTCGCAGTGGAAGCTGCCTACCGTTGTAGATTCCGGTGGTTCAGGAGCCACTTCTTGACCACAACATGAAGCTAATCTCTCTGATGGCTGTCAGCTGTTGAGCCGACCCCGTCCCAAGTAAGAGTTCTTAAATATGCTGCGGCTTCGACCAAATTCTATTATTGAGCCCTGCACCTTGCCGTCATTGGAAGAGAACCCTCATTTTTGGCACAACACCAGCACCTTTTGCCCGTCACCACGACCATGAATGCCCCTGCCAGATATCTTTCGTCAGAAGCGGTCAACTTCGCACGTACGATAGATTTAACTCGGTCTCAACGCCTGACTTTGTTCATAACCCGCGCCGCTCCTCTTTTCTTGTTTCTCGGCTTATGGGCTATAGCTTTGGTTTACCTGGCATCTTTCGACGCACAACCTCCGGAATCAGTCAAAGACGCACCTTTGTCTTCTACTATACAGAAAGGACGCGAAGAAGGGAGGGCAATTCGAGCTTGTAAACTCTCAAGAATTCCGATGCCAACGCCAGGCTATAAGCTCGACTCGGCTGCCACCCGCTAGTCATAGCGCTCAATCTTTTTCTCGAGTCAAGAAAACATGCCAGCGGGAATACCACACGCTTCCTCGGAGCAATGGGATGCCCATCAAAGTCGCATTCAAGTCAACCATCACCCACGCTCAACCCACGAAGTTGATACTTGGGGGCAACACCAACCAGAGTCGAGAGCCACACGCCACCACCAGTGCATTGTGCAGGATGGGATCGAGAAGTGGAGGGGCGGGACAACCACATCTTGTTCTATGGTCAGCAAGGTCTTAAGTAGCATATGTAATATCACATTCTACACAGGAATCACACCCTCTCGCTCATTTCTGATGCGTGCCAAGGTGGAGGTCAGATTGTCCCATGGACTCCCCAGTCTCTCTGAGAGCTATCCTTTAAGGTTCGCAGACATGTTGTTGCTCTTTGATGGTTCGTCAGCGCCATTGGCTTGCGGGACTTGCAGTGGGTGAAAGTTGCGAGTCATGGGCATAGATAGGCCTGGGTTCCACCCACAATTATCGTAATCCAATCGGGACCATCCTCGTCGGGTATGGTGTAGCGGTAACATCGTTGACTCTCACTTCTCAGAAGTGTCTGTTCTCTCAACAGCCCCGGGTTCGACTCCCGGTATCCGAGTCTCCTTTTTCACAGTTTTTATTTCTGCCTTCATTTGGTTTTGGGTTTTGCTCAGGGATCCACGATTCAACCCAAGCAAAACGCTTCTACCCAATTGATTAGAATATTCCCCTGTTTTCGGTCTTTTCTGGCCAATTGCTGTTGGAATATGGGACCCGCATGACCCCCACGATTCTGCTGTGAGCATGATATCTCTCTAATATTTCTTGCAGAAACCCATACATCCCAAGCAATTCTCGGCAGTTCTCCGCTTAGTGTCAGGTATGACAATGGAAGCCAGCTGCCAAGGTTGCCTGGGTGCTCGGGAACGGCCGGACATACCTGACAACAGTCTCTTTCTTTTCATGGATCTTTCCAGATGAAAGACATTAACAACGTGCATCCTGATGGTATGAATCGCACAGCTTAGGTACCTTCCAGGTTGGTATTGTCGAGGCGCTATCCTACCCTAAACTCCATCACCACCGACATTGCATAGAAGGAACCTCATCCCACCCTTGGGGGCAGAGAAATGCGCCGTCCACTCTATAACCGGGCCATTGGCCGCAATGGGCGATGCATCATATCACAGACCAGTCACAACAACATTCTCTCGTTACCAGGAAGCGGGAGGGCGGCCGCATGCCAAAATACCCAGTTCTCAGCACATCAGAATGTCCGATCATCTGCATAGAACATGGAGCTTACAACATGATGCGAATACGAGCAAGTAGGACGAGCCCTATCGAGAATTAGGAGACACGAGCCAGAAACCAACGCTTGACTTGTGGCGCAAGCTGGGGGTAACGAAAAGCCTGGAAGGGCCGAGTGCATCGAGGAGGGGTGGTATCATCGCGCGGTTTAGATTGCGTCTGGATAGCCAAGGTGGGGTACCTATCTTGGACCGCTATTTCCTGACTCCTTCCACATCCCATCCCTTCCATCTCGTCATGCAGTTGGACGAATAGGTCGATACAGTGCAGGTTGACGCAGCTGGACGGCGAAGTGAAGTCAGAGTACCCCCGACTAAAGACTGCAATCGTGCATGAGATGTGACGAAGAAGAAGGGTGATTTTGTGTTGGCGGAAGGCTGTGAGAAGGGTGGGTTGAGTAATTCGCTGCGAGGTATAGAGGTGAATATAAAGCCGGTGGATGATCATCGCAGGTCCACCCTCCTTCATTTCTCCATCGCCAGTCCGGCTCGAACCTCAGCTCGCTCTGTTGGGATCGACACACTTTCGTTTTATATCAAACCAAGACCTGGTCGATCTTCGAGTCTGTCAGCCCACCAATACCACCGTACATCACACCCTCGCGCGTCCTGAACCATTATATCTACCAGACACCAACCACGCTCGCTCAATGTCCGACAAGCTCTGCGACCACAACCTCAAGCACGGCTGTAGCGCAGTCGTAGCCAGCTCTGTCTCGCTTTGCGATGCTTGCGAAAAGGGAGCGTGTTGATTCAGACTCCTCTTGTATCATATGCACGATCCCACCTACTGCTTGAAACTCACAGCCGATACTACAACATAAACAGCACCGACCCAGTCGTCTGTCCGACCTATCGGCGGGTGCTGCACCCGATACTACCGTCTCACGCCTACCCTGGCTGTTGAATCCATTGCTACGCAGCCCTTACCGGCGTGTCTCACCTGTCGACACTTGGTTGCGTGTCCATGACACCACCACCACCTTGCATTTCATGTGGACGACGACGGTTGCAATATTGGTTGCGTCACTATCTCCTTGAGCTCAGGTGGAACTGTCTGCCCGAGTAGGATCGTCTCTCTCAAAAATGTGCGGTGCCGACTTTTGGCGGGAGGTGTATGAAGAGGATGATTATGAGGTTAACGCTGATGATGATACCCAATTGAGGGTACCGATTCATGAGGGGCATGTTAGAGGATTAACACCTTTTGTTTGTTTTCTATGAATTATGTTGGCACAGATTGCGAGGTTCCCAAAAGGATGGAGATAATTGGATGTATTTTTCAACAGGGCTAATGGTGGAAAGGGATATAGTTGTGGGGATAAAGGGGTAATGTTTGGAATAATTACGTAGGCAGAGAAGCTGGATATGCGTATTTCCTTGTAATTATTATCTCTTTACACTCCAATAGCTTTCTCCAATCACTTTACATCTCCTCAGAATTTGGCCGAAAAGCGTTCCTACTGTCTTCCACCGGGGTTTCAACCAGAATGCATCTATCTATCTGATCATACGTACCATGATAACCAGTACCACCCTACATGGGCATACTTCATGGAGTTTATATATAGCTGTAACAACACCGGAATGTGCTCACAATTTGCCACGTGACTTCTCGCCGCTTTATCCAAACTAAATCAAGCGGAGCTCAGGACCGGCTCATCTTCGGCTCCAGTCTGCTCACTTTCTACTTACTTTGCTTACAGATTGCTCAGGATTTACTTACCTGAATTAGGGACTATTTAGGGTCTATTTACGCTACTCAGAGATTACTTAATATTTACTTACTTAACTTGGGAATTATTTAGAGTATATTTTATTTATTTACTACGTAACGTTAGTTAAGTAAATATCCCTCAGAAGGTACGCTCTTAAAAATTGTTAATTTATACTTAGTAACCTAACTTCCTTTTTACTTAATATTAAATATATACTAGTTTATCTATGAATTTAACTTTAATATTTTTATTAATATATAGATTATAAGTTACGTTTTACCTTTATATTATGTAACGAACCTCTATTCAGAACCTCTAAAAGTGATACTAGTTAAAGGCACTTCTAAACAATTCTGGTTCGGTATAGCTAAACAGTGAAGAGAGACACAGCGGCAGGGCTGCAGGGTGAGGGGAGGCTCACTGCTTGGCAAAGGTGAGCCAGGGAGCCGGAGTGAGCCAGGTACGGAGGTACTTGGGGGCTTAAGTTTTATATATACGGAGGAACTGGCTGGTGTAGATAGACAGTTCCGCAGTACGCAATTCTGGTCACAGTTGTTGGTATCAAGACTATTGTGATTGAGACAAGCCATTTGTTGTACACTGTTTAGCTGTACCGAACCAGGATTGTTCAGAAGTGCCTTCAACCAGTATCCCTTTCAGAGGTTCTGGAGAGGGGTTCGTCACATGAAAGAGGTATCGCTACACAATCTCCCAATTAAAGACCTAAATAATCCTCTCCTTCTTGAGGAACTCCGGGACATGTACGACCTGCTTACGGAAAAGGGGGTTCTTCATGGGGATCCAAGGCTCCACAACTTTCTACGTGTTCATCAGAGGATCGTTGCTATCGACTTTGAGCTTTCCGAGCCTCTTACCAGTAAAATAACGAATGAGCATGGATTGGAGACCTTAAAGGATGA